ATAATAATAATAATAATAATAATAATAATAATAATAATAATAATAATAACAATAACAATAATAATAATAATAGTCGTGTCACCACAAAAAGAGAGAGAGAGAAATATAAGGTCATGCAAAGAGTCAGAGAGAAAAAAAAAAAGAATTTCACATGTATGTATATTATACATATTTCTTTATATGTGTGTGTAGAGATATGAATATGAGAGGCAGAAAAAGAAACACATAAACACACACGTACGACACACATATATATTATTGCATATAAAGAGATGCCTAATTTGACTCTATAAAGACAACTCCTCTTGAGGGTCTTCATTTCCAGTACATATCACCCCTTACCTTTTTTCGAAGCTCCAAGTTAACTTTACTCCTAGACCCATCAATTTTGTGTGGGCAAAAGAGCAGTCTCCCATGTCATCTACCCTTCTTCTTTCCCTTTATTTTTCTCTCTCACACCTTCTCCCTCTCACTCTCTCTCTTTGGGGTGGTTACCTTTGCTTGTTCTCTCTATACTACCGTTACATACCCACTATTCCTTTTTTTTTTCTTTTTTTTTTTTGTTTACACAGTTATCTTTCTCCAATAATATCTCCATCTATTCATTTATCTTTTTAAGCTATCATTATTTCACTCCATTGTTTTTCCACTTCCTTCTCTTTTCTTCTCAAAGTATCTACTGCTGATGGTCATAAAAAGCAAACAAACGAACGAACAAAAAGTACAGGCATCCACTGAGAAAACAAACAACAACAAGAACGACAAAAAAAAAAAAATTGATGACTCTACAGCCAAAGAAAAAAGACGCCAACAGTCCTCCAATGTAGCAACAATATAAAGGAGTGAAGAAAAATACCCCATCTCCTCACACCGCATCCTGTTCACATTATCAGGTTGCAGGAGCGACAGAAAAAACAACAGTAGCACCCAACTCACACGCCCAGCTGAAGTTCGTTGTTGTTTTTTTTTTTTTTTTTCAGTTTGGCAGACGAAAACAGCAACCAAGTGCCGACCTCCGCTGAGTCCCACGAAAAAAGAAAAAAAAAAAAAAAACAGAGCGAAAAAAAAAAAAAAACAAGACCTAAATAGAGCGGAAAACAGTGGCAAAGGTAGAAAAATAGAAACAAAAAAAAAAGAGAAGAAAAAACAAAAAAGAAAAAAAAAACAAGATCATGCCAACAAGGAAAATGACACATTATAGCTCTTCTGGAAATATTGTCTCATCACGTCCGTCGGCAAAAATAACTTTGTAAATGCCGTCAGGGTAGAGAATCTCCTTTTTGCCGTCCGGTAGGTGTCGCTCAATTTGTCCAGAGGCGTGAAATTGAAATACCTGCACTCCATCCGCATGTTGTACATGTGTCGTCTGTGCGGCAGCGTACCAGTACATACTCTTTCCAGATGGGAATGTACGTTTTACATCTCCGTTAGTAAAGTACAGCACTACATGGCCAGAGGGGAGGATCACCTTTCGCGTACCATTAGCATAGTGGATTTCACGTTTGCCACTACGATACAAAACCTCACGTTTGTTTGGGTTCTCACCTAGAGCTGCCTGAGAAACCACAACATCATTTGCAAAGTCTTCAGTTGGTACAGGCTCATCATCAGCTATAAGTTCTGCTACGGTAGGTGTACGGCGAGGTCTACGCGAAACTGAAGAAGTCCCTGTGCGTGGGGAAACATGCGGCTGCGCTTCGTTTCCAGTGGTCTTGCTGTGCTGGGCACGGGGTGTATGAATGGGGTGACCAGCAGCTCGCCGCTGCACGCGTGGCTCCTGTGTTTTACTTTCCGCCTCCTCCTTTGACACTGAGTGCGATTCTTGCTGTTGTTGTTGTTGTTGTTGTTGTTGTTGTTGTGGCGGTGGTGGTGGTTGTTTTTGTTGTTCTTGTTGCTGTTGTTGTTGTTGTTGTTGTTTACGTTCTTGCTCATCAGTCTGACGACGGACAGACCCTTCTCGCTCCTTTTGTTTGCGCTCCTCTAACTCAAGACGTTTACGTTCCTTTTCCTCCGCTTCACGACGCCTGCGTTCTTCTAATTCATGACGTTTACGTTCCTTTTCTTCCGCCTCATGACGTTTGCGTTCCTCCAATTCAAGACGTTTACGTTCCCTTTCCTCCGCTTCACGGCGTCTGCGTTCCTCCAATTCAAGACGTTTACGTTCCTTTTCTTCCGCTTCACGGCGTCTGCGTTCCTCTAATTCATGACGTTTACGTTCCTCCAATTCAAGACGTTTACGTTCCTTTTCTTCTGCTTCATGACGTCTGCGTTCCTCTAATTCATGACGTTTGCGTTCCCTTTCTTCCGCGTCATGACGTCTGCGTTCCTCTAATTCGAGACGTTTGCGCTCACGCTCACGCTCCTCTACATCATCAGTGCGTTGTTGTTGCACTTGTTGCACTTGTTGTTGTTTTTGTTGTTCTTCTTCTTCTTCTTCGAGTTCACCGTTCTCTGACTGATAGTCGTCCACAAGGTCGTATGGATCTTCGCTACTCCGCCGTGTGCTCGACCCACCTCCCTGCAGTTGTGGGCGGGAGCCGGTGCCTATGGCTGCCGCCGTCGACACGCCAGCGCTGCTCTCGAGTGCTGCGATTTGTTGTTCGCGCGCTAACTCAAGTAGTTCCTCATTACGGTGGGCGAGGGACTCAATTTCGCGGCGTAGGCGGCTTGTCTCCACCTTCTGCAACTTGCGTGCCTCCCGCATGCGTGTCGTAATTCCCTCCAGTTGCTGCCGCAGAATCTCATTCTCCGTTGTGAGTTTCTTGTTTGACTCCCGCTCCGTCCGCAGTAACTCCAGTGTGGACTTGTACCGTTCCTCTATCACTTTCACATCCTTCTTCGCTTGCCATTGTCCAGAGGCCCGTACGGCGTCCAGCTCCGCACGTTCCACCTCAAACCCACGTTCCACACCATTGCAGTAGTCTTCAAACCGCTGCCTTTCACGTTCTAGATGCATTGTCAGCTGGTGATACCGCGCACGCTCCTCTTTGGCAGCGCGCAGTTCATCCTCAAGCTGTTCTACTAAGTCTTGTTCCCGTGACATAATAAACTCTTGCCGTTGAGGACGCCGAAATAAATTTCGGCTCCCACGGGAGTATTCACTTTCTACATCCACAGGATCAGCGTAGCGACGTGGGGTGGCTCGACGCATGATGCCGTTATCCACCATATCATCGTTTCGCCACCGTCGCTGCTGTGGTTGATGCCACTCCACCATATCATCATATTCGGCTTCCCGCCGTGGGGTGGCATGACTAGGTCCTGCGTTAAACCGCTGCGGCACCCCTAATTCCGACGTTCGTTCCGACTCCTCAGAGATGCGTGATTGCTGCACATATTGTTGCTGCTTTGCGGGGGTCACCACCGCTACATCTCCATTTTTTTCAGGAATTTCAGGATCTACCCAGTCAGGTCGTCTCGCCACTTGTTGTTGTTTTGGTTTCTGTTGTTGTTGTTGCTGTTGTTGTTTCTGCAGCGGCGGCTGTTGCTGTTGCTGTTGTTGTTGTTGTTGTTGTTGTTGTTGTTGAGGCTGGTTTAATCTGCGCTCCAGTGCTTGTGCAGTGTCAGGTGGAGGCTGCGATCCATCGCGTACGCTGGAGTTTGGTGGAGGTGCACGCTTGGGGACTGCAATTACAACCGCCTCAAATGGGTCGTGATTCTTTCCCTTTCGCATATCGTTAGCGATGGCCTCGCGCAGCGATCGTGATCCACGCCGTTCCGATAATGGGCCGTCTCGAATACTGTTGCTGTGGTTTGTGCTTACTGCCAGTGGTGACTCTAACTGACATGTATAAGAGAGACGGCCCTCATCTTTGCGGAGAAACTTAAACGGCGCGTTCTTTGGTTTGCTTCTCTGAGATGCGGCAACTGTTACTCCCCGTGAGGAAGACTGACTCCGACCAGTTCGTGGTGTCGTAACTTCAGCCATTGTTGTCCTTTTTTTTTCTTTTTTTTTTTTTTTTTTTTTTTTTTGCTTCAGCTGGCAATATCCTGAATTCTCTTTTCGTTCCTGTTGTTTTCCTTTACTTTAATTTATCACTCCTCTCACTACTTTTTTTTTCTCCTTTTGTGTGCACCTTTGTTTTGCTTGTTTTTGTTCTTCTTTCGTATATATATATATATATATATATATATATGTATATATATATGTGTGTGTGCGTGCGTGCGTGTACCCTGTACAGGTATATTTCTTCTTGATGTTGTTATTATCTCTCTGCCTTCTTTGATGTGCAAATAGCTACTCTTTAACTTGGATTTCTCTCACCCACAGACGTACACCTTACAGCACAATATACTATATAATAATAAATATGTACAATAAATACAAATCTCCCACCTTACTGAGTTGATAACAAAACGTCTACGAGACAACGAGGAAGATGTGTGTCACCCCTCCCGCCAATAGATGTCACTGCAGTACTTATCCCTTGTACAGTGCAGTGATTCGTGGTGTGGAGAAACACAGAAAAAAAAAACTATCTTCTCATCAGGGTTAAAAAAAAAAAGAGCAAATGGAAAGAAAAAGAGATAGAAAGAGTAGATACAAAAATATATATATATATATTTTTACAAGGTGTAAAGGAATTTCAGATAAATACAAAGTAAGAAAAGATGGAGTAGAGTACGGTATGAAACATTCGCAATACAAAGAAGGAAATTTTCTTTTTTTTTTTTTAATTAAAGCACGTACGTATATAAGCAGAGGTAGTCATATTAACTTTCATATTCATTCACACACACACAGAAGGAAATAAAGAAAGAGAGAGAGACAAACCACCTGCAAAGCACATGCATTCAAAGAAAGAAAGAAAAACGAGAAAAAAAAACGAAAAAAAAAAAGATGGGATAGCGAAAATCTATGTATGAAAGAAATCTACTGAATCACTTCATCCACCACACGCGACCTCGTTAGTCTTTTCGCGGGAGTATTATTTTGCGGTGTGGGTGATGTAGAAGAGCTCAGCAACAATTCCTCTGGTGGTGGCACAGGTACGAACATAACAAGAAACACAGCGCTTAAAAAGTACAGAGCTGCCATAATAGTGGTAATGAGAACAAATGACAATGCAACCAACCACCACATAGGCAATCGTGCAGAGTACATCACTGCAGCAGAAGTATGAGGCGTATGTTCAACAGTTGTTTCCGCAACAGCCACGTGAGAAACAGAAGGCTGCGTCTCAACAGTTCCCCGTTGATGTACTACTTCTTTTACATGCCGTTCAATACGTTCGGCAAGTCCCTCGTGTGTGCGGCGAAGTTCTTCAATAACTTGTGCCGATCCTCCACTTACTGCTGCACGGACTTCCCCGCCAAAACCATTTAGTTGACTTAAATCCTGTGAAACCTGTTGTATGCTTGAGAGCAACGTTGCATTGCTCTTTTCTTCTCGTGTGTTTTGTTCGGATAACTGCTTTTGCACAGTGTGAAGTTGATCCGCAATCACTTCCGTCACAGTACCGCGGAGTGCCGTTGGCACATCTTGTTGGAGAACATGATGCAATGCGTCTCGCCACTCCTTCTGACGTTGTCGCATTTCTTCTGTCATTTCAGCATTGCTTACTCCCTGTGACTTCTCTAATTCATTAATTCTATCTAGAAGCTTCATTACAAGTTGCTCTTGATGTGACTTGAGTTCATTACTCTTGGTATCAAAATCGCTCTGAAGTTGTTGTACATGAGATTCGGTTGATGAAGCAACAGTTTGCTTCAATGAAAGTAATAAACTATCTTGTATTTGTTGAATCCTTTCATTCACCTTCTCAACCAATTCAGATTCTATACCTACCATATCCTCCTTTAACTTAAGACGATTACTCTCCAATACTTTAATAAATTCCTCCATATCTCGCTTTTCCACCTCTTCAAACTTTGCCGTGGCAATAAACGACCGAATAGCAACAAGTTTTTCACGTATTTGTTTTGCATGCACACCCCTAGAGGCACCTGCAAGTTTAATCAAGGCATCAATTTCCGCCAGTCGATCTTTAACATCTTTAGTTTCAGATACTTGCTCTGGTGTTTCATCCAAAGGAAGAGCAGCGGATGCCTCAATTTCTTTCAAACTGTCGAGCGTACTTTGAACTGCATCCAAACGTCCACTTAATCGTCCTTCCATTGCCTCTAAAGTCTCTTTAGTAACCCCCACATAAGGCAATGGTTGTTCTTGTTGTTCTTGTTGCAATTTTGGTGATGACTCCGATGATGATAACGTCTCCTGAGCATGGCGTAATTTTTGTAACTCAGATAGTATTTCCTTTGTTGCAGCGGAAAGACTCTCAAGTTGCGGTTCTATTAATATGGCATTCATAACATGTTCTTTTTGTTCTTGTTGTTGTTTTTGTTGTTTTTCTTTTTGTTCTTGTTGCTCTTCTTGTTGTGTTACTGGTGGTGATAGAGTTTTTGATGCTGCCATATCTTCGAGTATTTGGCCCACAGTATCAAGTTTCACCCGCATTGCCTCCACTGCAGATATCATACCTTTATGGTCTGCGCTAGATGAAATCAACTCATCTATCCGTTGTCTTCCATCTAAGACTTCTGTCTGCAATTGATTGAAACGTTGCGAGAGTTCTGTTGACAATTGTGAGTTTAGTTCTCCTACTCGTTCCTCTGAAGCTGTCAGCTGCGCCTTCATCTCACTAGCCGCCGTTACACTTTGATGTACCATGTCTGCAACCGCACTATGGAGGGACGAGAGTTTTTGTTCAGCCCAATTATTCCCTTCTTTTACACTTTCAAGACTCGCTGTAACTTCTTCAAGAGTTTTCTTCACACGAAGATCATTCTCCTGATCCACTACTCGTGATTTATCTAATGAAGCCTCTATAGATGACAGTTTCTTACTCAGATCTGTAGATGATTGTTGTGTAACTTCTCGAAGTTTATCACACACTGTGTTAAGTGAGGACGATACAGAGGCTGTTTCACCACTGACAACACCTTTCACTTCAGCTAAGAGACGATTTGTGATGGATGTCAATTCCTCCATTGTGAGGGAATTGGACCGCAATTCCTCATTACTTTTATGTAAACCTTGTAATTCCTTCTCTAACAGATGTTTTTGTTCCTGATGTTGTTCTTCACGTTGTTCTCGTTGTTGATTATGTTGTTGTTCATGCTGCTCTTGTAATCGCATAACCAGGGATTCAACCACAGATTTAATCTTGTTCTCCGTAAGTTCTTGTTTTTTATTCCATTCCTCTTTCATTCCTTGAATTACTTCATCAAGATAGTTTTGAAACGGTGTCAAGTCAATCTCATGGGTACGTCCCATCTCTTCCTGAACGGTTGCAAGAATACTTTGTTTCAAATCATTCAAACGTTCCAGCATAGATTCTTTATATTCTTCCATATGTGTTAAATCCGTTATTTTGGTATCATTAGTAGTAGCAGCAGTAGTAGTAGCAGTAGCAGTAATAGTAGTAGTAATAGTAGTAGTAGCCTTGGCAACCACATCTTCTACCATATCTCGCAAACTATCACTGATAGTTTGAGCAACGGTGACAAGTTGTTGGTCGCTTACAAGAGTTGGAAATTCATCCAGTTCCAAAGGTGTGGTATCCTTTTTATGTTTAGATTCTATCGTCGCGGCTAGTTCTTCCAATTTAGGACGAAGTACTGTAGATACAGCTTCCGCTAATTCATCCTTTGTGAATTGTGGTACTGGTGGCGTTATTACAGGTGCTGGTGTTGGTGTTGGTGTTGGTGCTGGTGTTGATGAGTTCAGTTGTACTGTTTTCCTGGACAATTCCTCACGCTGAGCCAAAGTAGCAAGAATACTATCACTAATACTCTGTGCTAATGTAATCATACGTTCATCGTCAAATTCCTGCGGTGAGGGAACATGTTCGACAACTGGTTGTCGTCTTTCGCGAATTACCTTTTCTAGTTCTAGTAGTCGTGTTGGGAGATCTTTCATATCTTCATGCTGCTGCTTCAGCTGTTCCTCTACTCTGGAGGTTACACGATCAGCCAAAGCATCCAACTTATCACAATACTCTCCGAATCGATCATCTCTGTCATCTTCTTTCGCCGATTTAGAGGAACCTTCTGCTAACTCATGCAGTGCATTTATGAGCTCTTTCTTTAATTTTTTCACCTGTGTCTCTATATCATGTATTGCTGTCATGTTTGTTTGCTGATGGCTGTGAACTTCCATTAAGAGTTCTTTCAAGTCAGAAAACCCGGAACTGGTCTCACGCATCTCCTCAAGCCGCTCCCCGTATGAAGCTAATAAACCCTCCAGTCTCGCTTCATCCTTACTGGTAGATACCGTACTTTCTGAACTCATTTTTTCACGTAGAGATTGTATTAATTCTCGTACTTCAGATTGTGTATCTTCCATCGCACGTGTCATACCTGTTTTCACAACATTTTCAATTTCTTCAAGAGTTGGAGGATTAGGTGGTAGTGGACCTTGTGGAGTTAATTTTTTTTCTAATATCTCTTCAAGAGAAAAAGAAATATTCTCTTGTTGTATACGTGTTGCCTGTTCAATGGCTGTTACAATTTGAACACGCAAATCCTCAGGAATGGGATCTTTCTCTTGTTTGGCAGTAATGCTTGATTCAAAAGCTTCCTTTAAGGATTGTTCTAGTTTCTTCATAGATAGATTCACTTCTTGTAAAAGTATCGAAAAGTTTTGATTATCTTTTTTCGCATCTTTTGCATGAGATTTGGGTCGCTCTTCGTGAATAACGGATGCAATCCTTGCACAAATTAAATCAGAACTATCTTGAAGCATGCGAGAAAAGGATGCCTCTTGTGTATGTGTTTGAAGAACAACACGATCTATTTCCTCTCGCAGACAAGTTGCAATGGCGTTTACAATACTTCCCGAGCGTCCATCATGAGAAGCCTCTGCAACATAATTATTTAATTCTAACTGCTCCTTAACTTGATCTACAATCACTGTTGCCACTGATGCCAGTTGATCAGGGGCGATAGCCACAATATCTTCCCGCCGTGCAGTCGCCACGCTGCTCTCCTCTACGCCAGTCTCTACATCTAGTGGAGTGTACACACTGACATCTGCGGAGGAAAGTGAAAGTACCCGCCGCTGCATCTCCGCATCTGCTGGGTGCATAACTGTTTCCACGACAAGTCCTTTTGAGGTGTCAAGACCCTTTAGAAGATCCTTTGTGGGTCCATACCCCTTTGTGCGCACAGTTGTTGCCTCCGTCGGTAGTGGAAAGGGGGATGAAGAGACCCATCGAAGGCTCACATGACTCCGAAGAGTTCTCCCCGGAAACTGTTGAGCCCTCTTCATCGCTTCAACAGAGGGCTATATCACAGGTTCATAATTACAAAATAAAAATACGTAAAAAAAAATACACACAGCAAAAAAATATAATAATAATAATAACGTAAAGAGAGGTACCAGAAGAAAAGGAGAAAAGAAAGAAATAGAAATCAGAGGGAAAAAAAGAACATAAATAAACATATAAATAAATAAATATATATATATATATATATATATATATATAAGCTATAATAGCTGAAGAAAAACTACAAGGAAAAAACTAAACACGGACACAACCTTAAACTCTTCGAAGGGGGGAAAAAAGAGGAAAAAAAAAATGTTATGAAACGGTGGTGTTTTCATTCCATCATAGATGCGCGGTGTACCTCCACTATCCCTTTATCCCACACATCCCCAAACGCACTCATAGGCGCACTGCTTATTTGTAACAGATGTTTTGTAGGAGCATTATAGGGAGAAAAAAAAAGGAGGGCGAAAAAGGAAAAGAAGGAAAAAAAAAAAAACGTAAAGGGTCCGTATTCATAGACGATCTCATTTCCAGCTGCCATTGGAGAATCGTCCAGACCATCATTCAGAAACGAAAACAGAAAGAAAAAAAAAAACAGGTGCCTTACTATATTCTTGGTGTTATTCTTCTTTTTCCCCTCCCCCCTTCTTTTTATTCTTCTCTTCTTGTTATTACTGTTTTTTGTTTTCTTTTCTTCTTTGTTTCTAGTTCTCCACCATGAACGGTGCTCGTCTCCACAGAGTATCCATTAAAGACTCCAGGGCGGATGAGGCAGTCCATAAGGCGGTCCAGACGCGCGATCTGCCATCCGCAGAACACCCGTACAGTTCTGAAGATGATGAAAAATGTTCGCATTTCCCCTACCTACAGAACCACCAGCCCAGACACACCCATCAAGCCACACACACACACATATGCACACACTCATACACAGAGAGAGAGAGAGAGAGAGAGAAAAAAAAAAAAAACACACACACAGAAAAAAAAGAACCATGTACACACATGCTTTTGTCAAGAACGATTATCATTTTTTTTCTTTTCTCAGAGTACAGGGAGTGTTTTCTTCCTCCTTTTGTATTCCTTTCTTTTCCCTACACTTCAACACCCTCCTTTTTTTTTTATCCTTTTTTTTTTTTTTCTTGGCGTGACACAAGTAACGTATCACCTCTCTGTATTTCCACTTTTCATAGTCTCTCTAACATCGTTTTCATTGCGGAATGACCACAGGAATAAAAATAAAATAAAAAAAGAACTTTTCGCACCTCTTTTAAACCAGCCTAAGTACTTATCGGCATTGTCGAGCCTCAACGTGTTTCATTAACTGCCTTATAGTACCCCTAACAAGATCAATGTTCTTTGATTGGCGAGCGAGTATACTGTCAACATTTCTGCAGTACGTCTCAATGGAAGCACCTGGCATCTCAACACCATTCAATTCTGTCATTTCTTGTTTAAGAAGTTCCATCATAGCATCAATATGGCGACGATGACCCAGTATTACATTATCTTCTTCTTCATCTAATGAATCACCACTCGCGAATGAAGCCACTTCATATGGGCTAGCATCACGTACAGATGTCTCGCTACCCACTCGACTGTGTTTTGGTGTTATTTTGCTGTAGCCCTTTCCAAGACCACTACTTGTAACTTTTCCAGAGCGAATACTGTCAGAGAAACTCGGGTAATCGTCCTCTTTGCAACTCACTGGTCCACGATGATGAGTAGGTTTAGGACGATAAGTGTTTCCAAAAGATCCAAATGACTTTGCATTTGGTGTTCCTGGTTCACGTTGTGAGAGTTGACTCGAAGATCGGGTACTGACTTTCTTTTCACGGGCACGACGTTGGGCAAAAGTACCAGTAAGACCAAGAGTTTCAACTTCCTCACTTGGCATTTGTCCAATCATAATCTCTTCTGCTGCAATGCGAGAGGATTTATCCTTTTTGAGTTCTTTAACACGATCTGCATAACGCAATGTATTTAATGTATGCTCACAACTCCCACTGGCAGGGCTTACGTTTCCTATCATAACAGTACGACTGTTACCTGTAAAGCAATCACGTAGAACAGCTGTTAATTTTGAACCTCGAAATGGAATATGTCGATGGTTTTGATCAAGGGCTCGAATACATTCTTTAAGTGCCAGTAACGATTTATTAATTTCTGCTCCTTCAAGACGAGTTGTACGATCACTGTCAAGAGTGTCAGCTCCGCGTTCACTACCCGCAAGATCAATAAACGTAAATCTACCAAAGAATCGATTCTTGGAGTTTAAGACAGTTATATGAAGAATGGCATGTGATCGTGAAGAATCAGCATTCATACCAGTAGATCCTGCTGCGCGAATAGAATTTCCGTAATCAATAACACGCATAAGGTGACCAGTATCATCAACACGATGTTCTGTGAGGCCACAAACATTTATAACACCTCGACTGTCTTCTCTGCAGGCAAGTTTTTCACGTTCATTAAGTAAATCAAATAATTTTCCTCCATAAATTTCAAAAAAAGAAACAACAATGCTCATACCTTGTTCAAGTCGTGCATATAAGTCTCGTGCTGCCATAAGGTAAATACCTTCCTGATCATCTTTTCCAAGCATAGTATACGTTTTTCCACTTCCTGTTTGACCATAAGCAAAACAAGTTGCACAACCTCCTTCAAAAACTGTTTCAACAAGAGGTTTACAAGCTTTTTCGTAAACATCACGGTTACTTTGCTTGTCATCAAGAACTAAATCATATGAGAAACGATGTTTCTCAATATATCTTGTAAGATCAACCTTTTGCTTTGGTTCCAAAAGAGCGATGGCATGTGTATTATCTGGATCTGTTGCCAGAACGTCGTACAAACCATCATTCAACTCTGATGAGTTAAGTGGTCTCTTGCGAACGACAACAACAATGCGACTTGATTTTCGTTTTGTTCCACCAACTTCTCCTGCTCTTCGCGTAAGTGGAGTAGGAGAGGCCCGCGTTAGGCGACTAACGGGACGTGAACTGGGTGTCGCCTTGGATGCGGAGGTGTCCAAATCATCACCCATGTGAACAGGATCACGTCTTGCAGGTGCTGATTGTTTGGCTTCATATAACCTCGTATTTTCGTGTTCTGCTCGACGTTGTGCACCAGAAGGAGTACTGCTGCGTCTGGATGGGGTTGTATTTCTCACAACTGGTGCTGTTGAGGTGTGGGAATTCTGATCAGCGTTACGAGTCATATCTGCTGAGGAGGTGGCGTTAGAAGAAGCGTTGGTCTGCTCTCTTTTCATGTATTGAATAAGTTCAAAGAGTTTGCGGCGATCCGTCATAACAATAACTCCAACTGACTGATAATCTTGCATAGTAAGTTGTTTGAGTTGTTGTACGGTGACAATGCCACCATCAATGAATCCCTGAATGGCGTGAGAAAGGCCACCATGTTCCAGAAGATCACGAAGCTGCTGCTCCATTTGTGTTCTCTACAAAAAAAAAATTTTTTGAATTTGGTACTTGTGATTGTGATTGTGTTTGTTCGTATGTTTGCTTTACCTGTTTGTTTTGTTTTTTACTCTGTTTCCTCTTCCCAGTCTTCAAAGTAGAATCCTAAGGGAGAAAAACTCTAAGATAAGCAGAAAAAAAAAAAAAAAATGAAAAAGAAACAGTTAAGTAAAACCAAAAAAAAAAGACAATTATCAAGTTTTTTTTTCTTTTTTTTTTTTTTTTCTTGCGGTATCAGCTTTACCTTAAGCTAATGAATCCTGTTTACCAGAGTTCCCATACCAATGATTTCAGTTTACAACTACCTTTTTTGCGACCCCTGGACCGGCTTCGGGTACCTCGTTTTCTGTAGAAGCGCAAACTACAAGCAAAGATCGCCAGTTCTAATGCCCCACAAATGGAAGTCCTTCAGAGGAACATATCATTTTGTCCATAACTATTAGCTGTTCCTTCCTTTAAAAAAAAAAAAAAAAAATACCTCAAGTCGTCCGTGCATAATCAAATAGTTGTTTTTTTTTTTTTTTCTTCTTCCCCCAAATGTTACGGTGTTCATTGTTCATTAATCCCGTCATTTTGTATTTTGGAACGTATTGATTTTTTCTTTTGAACTTCCACTTTTTCCCTTTCACTTTACTTTTTCCTTTTGCCGTTCCATACCACTACTTCTCTTTTTTCCTATTTACCTCTCTCCCCTATCTATCTTTTTCAATTGCGTCCATTTAATTAACATGCATTCATGTGTGCCTTTTATGTTCTAAAGGGCTCTCTGCTCCGTAGAAACAGAAATAAACACGTACGCAGTTCATTTTTTTTTTTTTTTTCGTTTTCTCTTTTACTACGCAAACCTTTCTTATTTCTCTTTTTTCTTTCTTTCTTTCTCTCTCCCTCTCTATTATCCATTAAGGAGAAATACGGAAAGGAAAAACTATGTTTCTGTTGTTATCTAATCTTCATTAAAGGCCCACCGGTTTTCGATTCTTGCCATTAAAGAAGACACGATACAGAACAACATTTACTTTTCGTGTCAATGTGGAGATGAAGGTCGTTGGATCAACAAACCGCCACAGAGAGACGAACTCCATAAAGGCGAGTGGTACAAAAACAGCTGTTGATACAATAAGAATGTACAAGGCATTAACAAGACGGAACGGATTCACAAAGAATGTCACGGCGTTAAAACACTTTGTAGCAAATCCAGAACTTTCCTCTCCACGGCAGCTGTAGGCTCCGCTGCACGTAAGAAGATTAAAGACACCGTGAAACATCACCTGATAGTAATGACGCAATAAATGAAGAGGATTAGAATCCACACCTGCCAACAGTGACATGGGGCCACTTACACAATCACCACCACATAAAAAGTAATCAAAACATGCATTGCGAAGCGCCGGGATACTAAACACAGCGTAAAGAGCCCAAGAAAGGATATTGATGCAACTGCTATGTAAGTATCGTGTTCGGGCATATTCTATAATAGCCTCTTGAATTTTATCTTCAATATTAGCCATCTCTGTAGCATCTTCGCTCCTTAATTTAGGAAGAGTAGCAAGTTGTTTGGACAAATGAAGCACATCATTAAAGGCACAAGTCATTCCTCCTCCAGTTAATGGGTGACGTTGATTTGCATGATCACCAATACCCACATAACCCTTAATAGAAGGAAAGGCTGCAGGGTAACGTGCCACAGGCATGGATCTAATGCCATTAAGATCCTTAGAGGCAATAATAAATTCACTACGCATATCAGCAGGTAAGTATTGTGAAACTTCCTCAATAAGCCATTCACTTTGTTTTTCTAAACTTGGAAGAGTTGGTTGATTGTAATCAATTAACATACGAATTTCATTTGGATCAAGGCGATACGAGAGAATGGGACCTGTCTTGCCAAAAAAGACAGTACCATGTCTTTCCACAGGTAGTTTCACATTACGCACAACAAGACCGACAAAATTAGAATGATAATTTGGAGCTGGATTATAATGCTGAAATCTTGCCTTAAATTTAGAAGCACCTCCATCACACATGATAATGAGCGGTGCTGTTGCCACACGTCGTACGGTCTCTTCAGTTGTTTGTGTTTGCGAAGATGTGCCATGGAAGGGTGAACTTGGTGGTTTGTAATTTGCATTGATGGAATACTCCACACCGTATGCCCTCTCTTGCCATGCGGTTCCCTCCACCAGCACTTCATTCACGGTTGCCTCCAGCATCGTAACATTTGCAGCACAGTTGCGCCAGACGTACTGCCGCAAGTTTTGTACAAAATCTCCAAAGTGAAATGAATAGCCTTGAAGGCCTTTGCTGTAGGGAAGCTCCACCTCGTGTTTGAACTCATCCACCACCACATATCCATCGCACGGCATACCAATAGAACTGGCACACTCATCCATATGAAGTTGTTTCAACGCGTTAACTCCACCGGGCTGCAGCAGTTCACCCACAATGCGATCTGGTTTTGTGAAGAGTGTGCGCTCCAGCAGGAGGACCTTGCGGTTCTGATCGGAGAGTGCCTTTGCGATTGTCGGCCCGGCGATACTTCCGCCCACAACAATGGCGTCATAGTCATACTTCACACGGGCGGGATTGAACCGAATACGAGAGGCCGCGTGATTCAGAGCTGCCAGAGCAACGACAATTAAAACAAGAATAAAAAAAAACATGTACATTGATAATATGAAAAAAAAAGTAATAAATTCCCTGTATATAGTACGAAAACAAAAACAAAAACAAAAACAGGAAAAAAAAAAAAAACACAAGATTTAAAGAAAGGTCAAACAGTAATAAATAGAATAACAACCACCACAACAGGTATAAAGGGGGAAAAAAAAAATAAAGCAAAAAAAAGATCATTATAGAATAAGACACAAGTAGAAAATCAAAACGGTATATTTTAAATGACAATCTTTGACGATAACAAAAACAAAAACAAAAAGAAAAAACTTGCTTACAATGATAACGATAAAACTAGCCATACATCAACAAGAAAAACAAAACAAAAAAAAAAAAAAAATAATAATAATAATAATAATAATAATAATAATAATTCAACTTTGAGACTTAGCCATCTGAAATGAACGACGCAGTGCAAAAAACCAAGCTAGAGTTTCACTTTGCTTAGCACAGCAAAATCGCACGCGTCTTGTGGCATTATCAGATTTTTTCTTAAAGTACACAGAGAAGAAAGTGCAGTCATTTTTGTAGAGAGGTGGTTTTGCCTCTCCGATACAATTCTCACTATCTTCCAACTCCAGATGTAAAATATCCTTCACGTTAAATACTGTCCACCATCGTATGTGTTTTCCGTCAGGAGCCTCTTTTGAAAAACGCAAAACACCCGACTTAAATTTATGAAATCGGAGTTGCCACAACACGTGAGGGGCAAAACTGCGGTACACATTACCAGCAATAGTTGGGTATTTCTCTGGTGAAGGGTCAATATGTAAACATTGATCACACGATGATACCACACTACTGCACAAATCGTGAGGTTCTTTAATATTCTCTTCGGCTGCTTTTGTCGATTGATCGAATAATATCATTTCCTTCAAAGAATCAATAGTACTCTCACAAGAAGGATTATCCTCTTGTGGTCCTGTAAACTTTTCATTATTTTCAGACGTTAAAATAAAGGTTTTAGGCATTACTTCAAAGCCATCTCCTGTAGAGTTGTTTGCTTGAATATTATCAATTTCATTAATTACTGTACTTGTTACTTTTTTATTTTCTTCCATCTCTCTTTGAAGAAACTGTTGCACCATCTCAGCAGTTTGACATAAGAAGGTCGAAGTATGTTCAAGTACATTCAGTATATTTTCACTTTCCCTTGATATCATCAATGCGTTTCGAAGCATCGCCTCACTCTGAAGAATCGCACCAATCTCATTTATCTGATCCAAAACAATCACTTGTCGCCCGGTACTTTCTTGCCATATCATATCAACAAGAGCATATACATTTTTCAAACAAGTAGAAGCATTAATAGAGTCATTCGTTGCCGTTATTGCTGAAGTTGTAGAAGGTCTCTCATCCAGTACTGTGTTCCCATTGACTGCAAAAGATGCAAAATCATCAGTGGATGGAGGAACAAATGTACGGTTGCCTTCTAAACATAAGAGACGCAACAGATGTTGTATTCCCATGTGAAATTCCTCCTGCTGTGCCCTAAATGACTCGGAGTGCAACAACATGATATCTTTCCTACCCAAACTTTCAAACTGTGCGAGAAGAAGTTGTTGCATGCAATTCAGATATGTGTTTCCTCCCTCGGAGAGTAATGTGGAGTCAAATGCAGTGAAGGCCGATGGTGAGAGCTGCAGACGGTCGGAGCTCCGGTTCGGAATCTCCGCTCGATCCAGCGAGCGTTGGATGATATTATGAAGATGTATGAGGCGTTCTTGTGTGTTGATGTTGTTGTCATTGCTGTAATTATTGTGAACAGAGATTGGTGGTGGGAGTGGGTCTGGTGTGCGTCGTTCCACCAATTTGCTGGAGTCATCACCATCATCCCACTCATAGTCAAGATTGCCCAACATCTTCTATACTATAGAGGAAAGGAGAGAAAATAAAAAAAAAAAATAATAATAAAGGAAAAAAAAGAGCATAAGTGTCCTCTCAAAGAAGTAAAACAAGTGAAAAGATTGAACGATGCAGTAAAGTCATGTGCGAAAACGCACAGTGAACTCAAATATAACATGTTTTTTTCTTCTTTTTTTTTGTTTCTCTGTTATCTGTTGTTTTCCCACAGAAGCATCATAATTACTCCGAATTTTTGTTTTCTTTATATATATATTCAAAAACACACACACATATATATACACACAGAGAGAGGCACCGCCTCAGAGACTCCAGTAATCTCTATGGAAATAGACTCTTCTATATTACTCTATGACTTATTCTTATTTCTTCTGCATTTTCTATTTTCTGTTCTTTTTAGGGAAGGGAAAGGTTTACAGAAAAAAAAAAAAAAACACAAAAATAAAAATATATATCATCTAGAGGTGTCGTTACAAATATTGACACCACAAAATTATTTGTTAAACTATAGGACGAAGTGAACCCATACTCTCCCCAGCAACAACATCACAGGGAAAATCCACCATAACGTTCATTTCTGGGTAGAGACGATTAAGCACCTGACGTGCACTACTCATAATGGATTCCACATCACGTACAACTTCACGAAAAACATCATTATGACAATCTATCCAAACACAGTCATGTACAGTGTTGGTAAGGACTGCCAATCCATTATAATTTTTCTTCAGTAAGAAATGTCGCCAAAGTAAACCAAGCATGATTTGTACAATTTCACCAGCAAATCCCTGAACAGGATAATTCTTTAAATGAGTTGGAGAAAAATTTGTAGACTTCGCAGAGAGAGCTCTATCCCGCATCATTCCCTCTGGTACATCAGATTCTGTAAAAACATAGCGACTACCTGTAATGACTGGAAACATACCTTTAAAAAATTGATGTCCTCTTACATTGCGTGATCCATCTTGAAGTGAAGCATCAAAGTTATTAGCAGACAAAGAGACCATACTATTAAATACATCTACTCCACGGTATGTTTCTCGTTCTTTTTCAATTAGAGAACGTACTTGTTCTTGTGTTAATCCGGTACTTTGACTAATCATTTTTACTCCTGCTCCATATTGTCGCTGGAAAGAAAAAATCTTTGCCTGTTGACGAAGTTTTACAAATTCAGGTTCTTTGTTCTTCTTTGCCCTAAGAAGAATTTCAGTATATTGAAGATCAGGTCGCATCATAGCAACACGCTTACAATGGAAATCCACTTTAGAACGAAGATCTTCTATCATCTGTTCATCACTCGCAAGTGCAGCCAAAGCAACAACTTCTAGCTGTGAATAGTCTGCTTCAATACACATTCCCTTTTCTCCATATCTACTAATAAACATTTCTCGAAGAGTAGACTTGTCTTCCGTTGGAATGTTCTGACAATTAGGGTTAGCACTTGCAAGGCGACCCGTATTCGTCTTATTATGTATGAGCTCGTGATGAATACAACTATCTACACTATGTACAAGAGATACCATTCCTGTACCTCCATCAGTACTTTCATAATATGTACCAATAAGTTTCTCCATAGCCCGTAATTCTAATATTGTCTCTGCTGTCTTATCTCCATGAGTCTTTTTAAAATAATTTAAAGAATCCTCACCTACTTGTAACTGCCTTGTACTTGCACTACGAAACTTTCGCATCACTTGTTCTGCATCAAGTTGACTTGGAACATATTTAGACAAACGTCCACGAATTTGTACTTCTACTACATCATCATGAGAACATTTAACTGCAAAAGCATCATAAATACTAGCACATGTTCTACCTATCATTGTCATTAGAGCTAATCGTCGACGTTCATAATCAGGAAGTGAACTATAATATCCAAAGAATGCACGACGCTCACTTAAAAGAATAGGTGGATTATCATTTAATACTGTATTATTTTTATTTTTTGATTTTCGCAGTTTTTTACTAGAATTATCAGGCACAAGGGCTTCTCTCTGTAAAGCAGCATTACCAATATGAAGGAATATATCAATGTAATGATTACACCAATCTTCTGGTTTCATATTTTTTTCTTGTAAAAATTTTTTCTTAAATGCATCAGCTGTTGCATTCTTTGAATGACCTGCACGGGGATGTGCAGCTAAAGGAAAAACAAGTTTTGACTCATCATAAGAACCTGACGATCGACTGGCAGCTTCTGTTTCAGCTCCGTATAAATGGCGGTAATATGTAAGAGTTGAAACCGTATCTGCCATACTAATCACATAATCTGTTGTTGTTGTGGTGGTGGTGGTGGTTGTTGCAGTAGTTGCAGTTGTAGTTCCATTCGTACTCAAAACATGACCATCATGAGATTCCAAAAACGTCTTTATACCTTCATCCGATTGTAATAAACGAATACATGAAAAAGGAGCATCTCTAGCTAAAATGGTAACATGTGCATTTAAAAAGGCATTATTGCTAGATGAAGAGGAATCACCACCATCATCATCTGAAGGAAGTAACATTTCGGTATGTGCAACTACTTGACGTTCTATAAATACACGTAACTTTGTAGCCTTCTCTGGATGATCAGCCAATATAGTCAATGACTCTCCTGTCACTGCATTTTTTATGAACAGTTTATTAATAGTTCCAGCTGTTGTTGGAGATATCGCCATGAATAGAAAAAGATGACGTCTAGGAAGTAAATTAACGAGAGCATTAGGTTCACTCCGTTTATCCGGGTCTGTTCTAGACACCGCTACCATCTCTCGACTGAGTGAATCCGTCATGGTGGAACTCTTACGGAATCCAGCCTGTTTTATGTAAGCTTCGTAGTATGTTTTAAATATCTTTGTTCCCTTTTCTAATGATCCACCTGTTACGATAAGACAGTCTGCCGGTCCAATAACATACACTGGTGGACGCAGGAATACACCTTTGGGGAATTGATCCACTGTATACTCTTCAGGTGAGACAAAAAGTGTATGACGTTCAAATGTTTCTCCAGGAAGTAATTTACTCTCACGAGCATTTGTACTAAGTTTAAGTTTTCCACCGAAAAAGAAGGCGATGAGGTGTTGATTTGAAGACCAATTAAAATACTTGTGACAGTCTGTAGGAATTTCTTTAGGAATAGCATTATCAAGGTGTTTTCGTAATTCCATCACCTTAACCATTAATTCATTACTCTGTGTAATAGCAAGTTGAACATTTGTTTTGAGACCATTGTATTCCATTTCTGTTGTACAGAGGAGTCCATCCATTCGAGCTGAGATAACAATAGCCTGTCTTTGTGTAAGAGCTCGTTCCATATGTTTTTTAAAAATAAGTTCTGTATTTTCTAAATCACCATTCAAGTATTCTGTTAATGTTGAATATGGAATTTCATACGTTTCCTTTCCATTAGCCCATGCCTGTTTTACAGCATCTAATTTTGGTATTTGTCCTCCGTACGACTTTGCCACGTCTTCCAAACCGGCGCCGCGACCAAGTTTGACTTCATGTCCTGTTAATAGATACTCCGCATACATGGTATCCCATATCTTTCCACCTCTTTTAATGAATCGGCGCAACTCCACATCACGCCATATATGCAGCAAATCGAATTTAATATTGTGTCCCACTATAACATCATAGTCATCAAGAGGAGGTAAAAAGAGGGAATACTTTGATGATCCCTCAACTAAATTACACGTACTTGTTACACCAAAATCATCGTAGCGAAGGGCAATAGTTCGACTAAAATAACGGGTCGGAATATAAACCTTTCCTTTATAGTCACGAGCACCAGAGAGTACAACAAAGTTTTCTTTCGTAAAAGGATTTGCAACACGTTTGTAACGTCGTATGGTAGTAGTTTCGAGATCTAGTACTAAGTACTTTGACATTCCAGCCAAAACTTTTTTTTCACGTTCAAGTCGTTCAGGATTTTCATAAATCATTGAACGCCATTGTTGTAAACGAAACACAACCTCAGCATCATTAATATTAACATTATTAAGAAAAGCTGATCGGGTTACATGAGAAACTGGATTTTCATTTTCTTCTTCTTCAAGTCTAACTACTTTATCTAATGCTTTCTGTGGTTCCTCTTGAGGGGGAATACTACTTACAGATGACATCAATGCTGGGGATACACGATGTAGTCGATCAGAGAACAATTTATTAGCGAGAGCAGTAAATCCTTGTTGTAGTTTCCTATCCAGAAATTCATCATCCTTCTTATGTGTACTCTGTGGAAAACAATTTGAACGAATAGTTGCCCATGTAGCACGTGGATCCTTTTCATTATCTAGACCTGCAGCAACTTTTGTTCCTACAAAGAATGGTGCCAAACTAGAGACTTCAGCAACGAAAAAAGGACATGATGGGCGACAACTTCGTGCAAAGGCGAGTAATTGAGCTGACTTTGTACGGGCAGTAGGAACAAAAAGAGAAATAGATGAAGTGCCCTCACCATAAAGAAGACCATTTAACGTGTTACGCTTAACTGTTTCCTCCGCTAAACTACGAATCATATGAACTGATTGAGTTCGTTTCTGGGCATCATAAATAGTAACAATCATTGTATAACCTTCTGCAATGGTTCCTTTACCAACTCTAACATTTATATCCACTACAAAAATGTTAACCGCCTTTACCACGCGCCGAACAATCTGATCAATAGGATTCATCACTTTCCGGTTTCCAGTTGTGCCAAATTTCCTGTGAACATTAAATAAAACACACCAAGATACAAGGGCATCCCGTGCCGCCCCAAGAGAATCTGCAGAATCAGAGGAAATATAAGAACCCGATGAAAAATCAAAAATGGTTGGATTAGTAAAAGAACTTTTGTACGCCTTCCTCGTTAAGAGAAAAGTAGCATGCTCTAAGCTAGTAGGAAGATCCATACCTCGTACAAACTCCTGCTGGTTTTTTAATGCAAGAAAAGTAATTCCCCATGTATCTGGTGCCAACACAATTCGTTTTCGGGCCTTCTCTTTCAGTAAAGATGCCGCTTCCTTAAGGGTAGAGGAACCATCACTTGGAAACACGATACCTGCAATGTAATCATCACCAATACGTTCCTCCATCCAAAACGCAGCTTTCCATATTGTTTCACGCTTCATACACACAAGTTCATTTGTAGTAGCACAATAAAGAGCGAAATCACCTGTTGTACCATACCATCCTATAGTAAAAAGAGTATATTGTGACCTAGCGAGTAGAGTCTTTACATTTGACTGTCCAAGAATATCAAATGATTGCACAGGAGATGTAGTCAATGATGACTTCTGCGGTAATGGCACCACCCCCGCTGTCGCACTTGCCCGCTGTGCGACGATACCTCTTGTGATGAACGCAACCGGACTGTCGTAGAAACAAACAGAGAGTACTGCATGCCGTGGCTTTAACAGCCGTCGCAGCATGGGGCACAAACACTAAAAAAAGAAACCCAAGAGAATGAAAGGGAGTCCTATTTTTTTTTTTTTTTTAAGAAGAAAAAAATAAAAAATAAAAAATAAAAAAAAAAGGGAGAAAAAAAAACTCACTGAAAAAGCAAACAAATAATCTAATAGAATCAACTACATCTCTAGTAAATACAAAAGAATCTGTATAACCCAAAATGGGTGGAAACAAGATCAAGTGTGACAGAGTACACATTCTCAAAATAGTGTGCTGTTCTTACATCTCTATTATTGTTCCGTGACCATATATACATTAGTGGAACGGTGATTCAACCATCATCTCTATCATAATAATTATAATAAAATTAATTGAATAAAAAAAAAAAATGAGAAGAAACAAATAAAACAAAGAAAAAAAAAATCCCACAAGGAAAAAAAAAAGCAGGAGTGTCTTCTTGGTTTACATTTCTTTTTTTCTTCTTACTCTACTACATCAAGGATAAGCCCAACACCAGCAATTGTCCACTTCTTTGCGGGTTGTTTTGTCTTTAGCCAGAAACCAACAACAAAACCTGGACCACGTTGTTGCGTTTTGTATACTGGACATTCGTATTGATCGCGTCGGTCAATTTTAGAGAGTGGCAGAGAACGTACTGTCATAATTGGCATCTTTGGATAAAGTTCCTTCATTCTGCTTTCGTCAAGACACGCGGATGCGGTGTCCCAGCGGGCTCCTTCCATAGAGAGACCTGAAATGTGACATCCATCACGAGCGCTTGTCTCAATTTGGTCAGCAGATTTTTTCAATACATCAACCACCAATGCCATTTGATCGAGATCGAAACTATTGGTAATAGAAGTAGTTTGCATAATAGCTGTAAGGAAGGACATAGGATTAAAAAAGAGGGCAATGTTTGTTACCTTTGGAGTCTGTAGTTCACCAGTCCATCCCATGAGTTGATCATTTCGGACAAGGAAGTTTTCCATCCAAGATCCGAGTGCACGTAAAGACATGAATGAAACCTTTTCCCATACAGCTGGAAGTTTATCCAGATAAATTTCATCAAATAATAATTGCATAGCCGCAGTCATTGAAAGGGCACCCTTAAGGCCAAGATCAAGTTCTTCAAGAGTAGATTTTAGAACGCTAATAAGCAAATTCATGCGTTCACATTCTTGATAGAAAACGTGTTGTTGTGGTGTACGTTCATCTTCTAGACGTTCTGCCAAATCTTGAAGATTATGAGGTTCAGGAAGACGTTCACGAAGTTCATCAATTTTCTGTTGTACAACTTCTTGTGGGCTAAGCATATCTCCTCCAGTGTGTTGTTTAGGTTGTAACTCATTAATTGTACGGAAGAGTACATCAGCTTGTACTGTGCGATAATTAATTTCAGCATTAGGATGGAGACCAAAAAGGAGAGGAGATTCCGCTGGAAAGTCTTCAGCGTTTGTTAACCAATCCATATATTCATTGTAGCTCATTGGTGAAGGAACCTCAATTCCAGGTGCCAATTGAAGACCATCACAACAGTCTGGTACGAGGTATGTTCTAAGGTATGCCATACACAGCACACGATCCCAATCATCTGTAATGTGTCCTCCATACATAATCTCGCCAAATACATAACGTAAATCTTCCCATGGCACCTTTGGACGATCCTCAATATAGTTCGCTGCCACTTCCATACATGTTGTTAAATCACCCGTATTAAAAGGGTAGACTCTATTCCATCCTTGCGGACCGAACTTTTTCCGCTCTACAACCACAGAATGGAAGAAGCACATAGAAAACATAATGCAACGGTACTCTGTTGGCTTTGCACTCTTCTCCCATGGTTCATCGCTAAAATTAGTCATTGCTCTGACAATATTAGAGCGAATACCTGTAGGAGGTTCAGATGTAAGTTTAATTGAGCGTTGGAGAACACCAATAGGAATAACATCAGAAGGTTCAGCACTCAAAAAGACACGGAATTCTGGATGCCCTTTCGGTCCTTCAAAAGGAATATCATCATCATCATCATCATTATTATTATTTTCCCCTTCATTTACACCTTCCGCATTCTCATCTACTGGTGATTTCAATTCATTTCCATCGTCTTTTCCAACGTCTTCACCTGTCTTCTCCAGTGTCCCAGATGTCTCCATAGAGTGATTCTCATTTAAGCTTTTATTCTCTTCATCTCCTGCATCATCTTCATTATCATTTTCATCCATAACTTTTTTTGCTGCAGCACGTTTTTCATCTCTCTCTTTTCTTAATTGCGCCATACGTGTATAAATTTCAGCATACGAGTCTAGACGACGTTCCAAAGTAAGAAGCCATTTTTGAACAAGATGAATGTTATTCAACAGTGCCCATCCTCCTTGTAAGAAACATTTTTCCAACGCACGATCAGCAACAATTTCCTGACCTTGACCAAGTGAAACATTGTATAAACGTTCATTATCATAAGTATACCCCATTTTTCGTCCTGCTTCCTCCACAGCTCTTACAGGATCCACACCAGGAGAAAGAATAAAGAAGAGTGGTGTAGTCGTTGTTGATTCTCTAATAGAAACAGAAATGTCAACAGTCTGATCAGACACAAAGAATCGACCAAGACTATCACAAACAAACGTCTCAAGTGCAGAAGTAAGGCGATCCGGACGTAAACAACGCAATACAAGAAGTCGTTGAAATTGTGTTAGATTTTTCCACTCAGAAGGCATTTTTTCCAGTTCAGGTTTTTCTGTTTCTGTCCATTGTTTCCAACGATTATTCTCAGCCATATCATTTGGTAAATAATTAAATGGAGGTGTTGATCCTTCAACATCTGCGAGAGCTTGTACTGCAGCCCAATTAGGTTCGGGACACCATTCTACAACTGTCTCAGGTCGTGGTACACCCAATTTCTTTTTACCTCGCAGCAAAAAGTCTAGTTGTTTCACGTCAATATCACCTTGACGTTGAAGAATTGCGAAGGTTAATAAGCTGGATAAGATAAGTTTATGTCTCTCAAAAAGACCACGAGAAACGTATGCGAATACTGTTTCCATTATAGATTGAAGAACATTTTCAACTCGTTTCGCAACATCCTTCTTATCTTCCGGTTGTGTTGCTTTCATCAGAGCCTTATTAAATACCACCATAAATGCTTCTAAAGAGTATTGATACATATGATCAATCTTCCATAGTTGATCAATCTGGAAAAACAGCAAAGCTCCCCTTACGGCAACTTGAGTATATGTCAAACGATTTTGAGCAATATCCTTCTGTGTAGCGACTGCTTGGGCGAATGAAATATTAATTTCTTTTGCTTTTTTCTTTGTATTTTCAAGATTTTCAATAAGTGCAACATTTTCCAAAATATCACCTGTAGCATTTGTTAATTCATAAAGAAGACCATCTTCACATTTCTGAAGTTCAATTGTCATAGTATTCATTTGACGCAAAAGAGTTCCTCGTTTTTTCTCTAAATCAGGTCGTTCTTGATTCACTACAACTGCAAGTAATTGATCTTCGAGTCCAACTTCAGTTACCATAAAGTTTATTAATGTTGTTTGGGCATTTACCTCAGGACCATAGGAAGGGTTACCAAGTTTAGTTTGTAAAAACAAACGGAAATTATTATTATATTCTACTTCTGTCGCACCAAGTTTAATAAACTGATGACCACCCTTTTTAAAGGTTTGACGACTCAAAACTCCGTCAAGTACAGGTTCAATAAATTCACCCAAAGCTTCAATAACACAAGGAAGTCCCTCTTCTATACAAGTTTGAAGAGAACGTTGCCATGTTTTTTGTGAAGTTTGAATAACTTTTAATCCGTTCTTTTCTTCACGTGTACGAATCCATTTAATACCTTGAAGTTGTGGATCAATAAGAAGAGGCCAACGAGTACAATTCGTCACGATAGCACCATTTTCTGTTGATATCCTGTCTGAAGGAAGACCTTCATTATTCCATGAAGCTACTGCTGCTTCTGATGTGAGAACATTCATAGTAATATCAAGATTCTCTGTCATGGGAATTTCCAATTCCTTTACTTTAGGTATCCAATCTTCTAATACAATACGCTCACGGAAAGCCTTTGAAAATGGACCAATGTAAGAAACAAAAGAAGCTCCCAAGAGAACGTCACCTATTAAAAGATCACTGGCATTTTTAAGTTCTTGAATAGTATTACCCCATCGAACACTTTCATCTGATAAACCAGTCACAAGACGTTGTGCCAGATCCATCTTAAGTTGTGTTTTCTTCGCCTTCTGTTCAATAGCATTTGCTGCATCTACAGCATCATTATACTGTGAAATTAAAGCTTCAAGTTTAGCATTAAGATCTGCAACCTTATCTTGAATTTTCTTTAACGCTGCTTTACTTTGTTGTAAACGTTCTTGAGCTTCAGCCAGACGTTCCTCCTTTGGACGAACTTCACAACGCACCAAATGATACTTGTTAATACCAACAGCCCACTTACACAAACCTGCTGCAGCAAAAGATTTCGTTTTTATATTTTCTGGATCAAAAGCAGGATTTGTAATGTACATTTGAATTTGATCAATACAAATCTGGGGAATGTTATTTACATCAAAACCTTTAAGTTCTGCCAGGAAACGATCCACTTGATTCATCATTTTTTTGCATTCAGCCCAAGTACGATTCTTTACGGATGGAATAGCTCTGGGATTTGATGTAAGAACTCGTACACATATAGCCACCATCTGCACATCCACAGGAGGTTTACCCAAATTCTTTAGTTCAGATATAGAGGCTTTATCAAGTGTATCAAGTGCCGCAAGAGCCTCTTCAACAAGAGGTTTAGCCTTTGCTAAATCTTCAGCACATTGACTTTCAAATAACTCCACTTCAGCGACAATTTTATTCGTTTTTTCTTCTTCTTTAGCGGCGATAGCGCTTTGCTCTTCTACAATAGCCTTTTCTCTTCCTACAGTTTCCATCAGAGCTGCAGTTTTTTGTCTTGCCTCTTCAACTTCTACACTTTCCCTTTGAAGAACTTCTTGTAATGCAGCCACTTGTACCCCTGCTTCTTTAATCTTATCAATACCACTAACTAATCGTTGCGTCCTATCATTTAAATCATCCCGCTTCTTTGAAAGTAATTCTTTATAAAAAGCAATTAATTCCAAGAATGATTTTGGTGTTGTGTAGGCTCGACGTTTTTCTTGAAGATAATACTCTTCACAAGTCTCAGTAACTTTATCTTGACAGAATGCCATAAAGTCAGCGATATTATTTGTCATTTGTGTACCACCCAACTCAATTTCGGATAAGAATCGACGAGCAACAGATTTAAGTGCTTGTTCAGGCCAACGTAAGAACCAATCAATAACAGTAGTATTTGCAAGTGCAGGGAATTGACGACACCACGCACCAAAGTTTTTACTTACAGGTGAAAAACAGAGAATAATATGAAGGTGTGATCGTACCTTGTCAATAAAGTATTCCCAACAAACATCAGGGTTTGAATAATCTGTTATACCAGCTGCTTTTACTTCATTAGTAATAGAACCCACAATACCATCACGTTCATCTTGATTAAATAATTCAGGAACATTACCACTAGCAAGCATATCATTAAGATATACAAGCATGTCTTGAGTTACAATTTGTGTATCTGTAATAATAAAGGCATATGGATATCCTTTAAGACCACATTTACGATAGAGCTCTTGCATATCAATACGGAATTCTGCAATACCATAAGTGCTAGTAACAAGAATCTGAAAGATTTCATGACCATTAATAAAGGAAGCAAGACGTGCAAGTGATTGTTTACCAGAACCACCCACTCCAACAAGTAAAGCATTACCACGTGGATTAGAAGTAATACGCGCAATACGACATAAATGTTCAACAGCTTGATTAAAAAGAACAAGATTCATTCGTGCATAATTATCATTGTATTCATCTAACTTCTTAATAAGGAATGATTGTGCAGCATCTATTGTTAGTTCATCATATACATTTTCTTCTCCCTCTGGTGTTGTAATGAAAGGTGCCCAAAGAAGTGGTTCTTGTACTAATTCCTTTGGATTAATATCACTAAAACCAGCACGTCCAATCACTTCAAGAAATACAGCATCAAAACGATTCATATCATCTGTTTCTGACATTCGATCTCGGAATGTGCGATTACACTCATGAACCCAAAGACGAGCGAATTGCATTGGTGTCGTATGAATCTTAGGATTAGACTTACAAAGTCCTTGGAATATATTAAACATCTCACGCATATTCCACTGATAATGAAACTTAATAGCTGTTGGGAAAAATTGCTTGGAAACCAAATTATGTAATTCAATAGTAGCATTGGTAACAAGTGTTGTCATCGCATCACGAATATCACGTGGGAATTTATGTGTATGAGCTTGAAGGATTTGACCATAAATACTTACTAAATCTGCTCGTTCTGGCATATTGGTTGAAAATACAGCAAAATGCCTTAAAAGACGATCCAATATTGTAAAGGTACCAGACTTTGGATTCATAGCTCCAACATAACGTAAATCCACCACCTCTTTCTGAATAATTTTCACACGATCATACCAGAAACCATAACTTACATGCTGTTGAAGGAGAGCAATAGCTTCTTGAGTTCCATATTTATCAGGTGCAGGCATATTCATATCATCAAGGAAGAATACCAATTTCTTTCGGTTAAAAGGTCCATATGTACGACCTGAACGTTTTTCCAAAGACTGCTCCATTACAGCCTGAAGTCCACTTGAAGAAGTACGTGCATTAAAAGAAATAACGCGGAAAAGAACATGTTCATTATCTAACGAACGTAACTTTGACATAATCAAATTGGTTTTACCTGTTCCAGCAGTTCCAACAAGCATAACAGATTTGGCGTTATCTATCAATAAACTCATCAGATGTGACATACGAACACTATCTGCAGTTTGTACTGAAACAGAAGAAAGTTGTCTATCAGGATCTGGAACATATGGTTGAACAAGTTCACTCCATGGTTTCCACTCAAACTGATAAACACCATTTTCATCTTTTCTCTTATCAATATAAAAATCAAAAACAGAACCTGAGTCACTGATTTTCATGTTAGGAAATTCTTTCTTCCATTGATTAGAAAAGTTCATCCTTGCATCAATACGTCCATCATGTCCTGGTAATGGTCCACCGAAAGCCCAAATAACAGCAAAGACAAAATATTTTTCACAAACATCAAAGTAGTTCGGATGTTTTGAGAGTTCTTCATTCGTCATTTGCCCAAGAATACCTTCTAGAATAAAACATATAGTTTGTATTACATTGATATCCATTAAAGTTACAATAGGTTTCATACTGCGTTTCCAGAACTCAAAAACAAAAGGAACATACTTATCAAACAGACTATCAAGTATTGTTCCTTCACGCTTATCTCGAGTAGCTATCCACTTATCTTTGAAAGGTCCCCAACCAAGATCACTTTCATTAATAAAAACGACACCAGCACGAGAGACTGTTGCAGGTGAAGCATTACGTAAATGTGAAACCTCAAATATCATACGCATAGAATCCGTTAAGGGGATACGTTCATTTGATACCAATGTTAACATTTTGTTATCATCCATAACAGTATTCATAGACTCAATCCATTCTGCATCAATAATACCGTCTAGTACAATCCATTTCATGTTACGTCTCTTTTTAGATTCCAAAGCATAGTCACGGAATATACAAGACAAAATACCATCTCTCCATTCTTTATTAGGAGTAAAAAAGCCATATAATTCATTTGAAGTAATAGCCTTTGGATTTAAGCATGATGATACAGCCTTTGCTTTCCATTCATCTTTGTGTAACTTTGTAAGAGCACCTTGTAAACATTTCCAGCACTCTGTTTTACCACATCCGGCAGGACCCAAAACAAAGACAGAATGACGAACATGTAATAATTCTTCGTACTGCACACACTTTAAGATAAATATATCATTTTCACCAGGTAAATTACCTTGTTCACGGCAAACTTCTTTACATGCAGCAACCAATTCAGGTTTATCCTTCTTTGGAACGTCTAAGTTAGGGAAGAGTGAACGAATAAGACCCATAAACACATAAACATCATCTTTACTAAGTTTGGCCATATTCGTATCACGTAATGCTCGCATAAGTACATTACGCTCAGGGATATCCGGATCACCACGTTTTAAAGCACCAGCAATGTACAAAACGGATTTAACAGCACGAAGGCCCCAATCATAGTGATCCTGTGGTGAAAGTAACTCTTTATTTAATCGGTAAAGAGTCACAAACTTTAATGCAAGATCTTTTGCATCTCCAAATCCCTCAGCAGCTAACATGATCTCACAAATATTTTTTAAATCAGGAACAACCATAGCACATGGACGGAAGAGAGATTTAATATTTTCAGGGAGTTCTGTACGTCCGGCATAACCAGGATTCATTGTAATCCACATACCAACAGATGGAATAATTGAAATTTCTTCATCCATAAAGCGAAATCGTTGTTTTTGTTCTTTCAAAGCATTTAATATAGAACCGACTTGGGTCGCAACAACAGATAAAACCTCGATTGAAATACGATTAAATTCATCAAAACAACCCCAAGATCCAGACATAGCAAGACCCTTGAAAATTTGACCAAGTGTTATGTAATTCATTTGATCAGAACAATTAAAAACATAACACGCTATACCCATATTTCGTGCAAGATCTTTTGTTGTTTCCGTTTTACCAGTTCCTGCTGGACCTGCAGGGGCACCTCCCTTTTTCAAACGTAGAGCTTGGGTTAGAGTAATGTAGCAACGATCTGTAAGTTTGGTAATAACTAAACATCCGCAAAGACCAATATATTCGTATCCATTAGTAAATTCAGCATCTGCAATACGAATTTCATTACCTTTGGTTTCATCCCAGTAGTAACGAAGCTGAGATTGCCAACTAAAAGCATCTACAGCATCAACACGTTCATCTACCATAGCTTGTACAATATCCCGATTATGAACATCAATTGTAATAAGATGAACAAGCATTTTACGTTCATTGGAGGTTCGATCTACTAGCACTTCTTTAATAAGACTATCAAGTTGACTCTTTTGATTTTTTAAGCAATCTTTCATTCCCAAATCGTTACCTTCTTCAATTTGTATAAATGCTTGATGAACTTCAGTTGTAAACCATATACGTGAAGCCACAATAATAGCTTGACAAGGATATTGATAAATCCATTCATTTCGTGGTTTTTCAATATAACTTGCATTCGCTTCTTTTATATGTTTTTTCATCGCCTTTTTCATCGCTATAATAAGACCATCTAACCATAACTCAACAGGACCATCACATGTGTAATCTTCTGAAAGACTCACTTTCTCGCCTTGTACTGAAATCATTTCATATGTATCCTTCGGTCCAGCTAGAGGATTAGGATTATTCGCAAATGAAAAAGTATCTACAGAGTCAATAATTTTACTCATATGTACCATTACTGCTCTAGGATCAGAACCCTTTGAAAGAATATCAATTAAGTCTGTCGCAGATACAAAGAAAAATCTAGGGAATATTTTACGTTTTGTTTCCAAGTAATCAGCAAGTGCTTTTTCGCATTGAGACAGAATATCTTGAATATAGTTAAGGGTCTGGTCAAGATCTTCATCCCTTTCTAATTCTTTCTTTAGAGTATCACTACATATTACCTCAATAACATTATCATACTTATGTGCCTTACTCATAAGAAGTCGGAAAACTCGATCTGCTTCAGCAAAATTCTTTGCATCTTCGGGAAGTTGTACCTTAATATCTTCAGAACGAACAAATATAGGGTACAAGTTCATCCATTGCCTTTGTATATCCATCCATTTACCTGTACAGGTATCTACTGCACCAAGATTCTTCTGCCAAAGGATAACTTTTTCATAAAAATATTCTACAAACCGGTCTGAGAGCATTGAAGAAAGTGCATTATTATCATTTTCTAATTGCTCTATAACATCATCCACAGATTCCAACAAGTAAGTATCAAGATCTTCATCCTTTGAATAAGTAAATATCATCTTTTCCCATATACCAATAATTTTACTCAAATTGGTCTCAATTCGTAGTTCTTTATCTGCTTTTTCAACAATATTTGCTACTTCCTCAGAATATTTATGAAGACCAAGAGCGAAAAGTTTCTCCAAGGTAAAATCACTAGCCTCAGGATCAATACTACCTGGTTGCTTTGTAGTAGACACCAAAAGTTGCCAATGACGTGGTCGCATAGAAGGAGAACTCAAAGACTGACAAAGTGGTAATGAGGTTCTCATGTTACGAACTTGTTCATCCACACCTTTAAAACAATCCCAAGATTTTACCTTCATTGGTTGTTGTTGAAGTTGCTTGGAAAGTTTTTTGCACTCATCTTCAAAAAGTGAAACATCAGCATTTTTAAAGGTCGATTTCATCCAATCAGAAAATTGGGACATCACATGTGCGTTCAAATCCCATACCTGTTTTAGCATCATTAGATCATGACGGCACTCTCGAATTTCCTTAAATTGTGCAGGAGTTAAATCAAATAATTCTTGAAGATTTTGTAATTCCTTCGCTTCATTTTCAATTTCCATAAAGTGGTGGTAAACTTCATCCATTTCATCGTAAACAATACTTTGATCAATAGCATAACTAAAAAGACGTTTTTGATGAAATCCCTGGGCCTCTTGACGGAGTCTTTCCTCAAAAAGCAAAACTTGTTCCTTCACTTTCTCAGCTTCTCTATCTTGAACGATAGAATTCTGTGCCCGCACATTTAAGGCTTTTTTATTGAGAGCAATCCATTGATCAGGAGCAGGTTTTCGTAATTCATCCAATCTCTCAATTTTTGCCAATTCCACCTCTGCAGCAGCGGAAGTATTAGCATGACTTTTAAGCATACGAATAGCAGCTTGAATGGGAGGGAACATTCCTCCAGTTTCAGGATTTTCATCTTTGCCTACAATTTCTTCATTCTTTCGGCGACAATCTCTAATCCATCGCATAGCACATTTTAATGACTCCACATTACCATCTAGTACTTCAATGTCTAAACCTTTATCTGCTTCCTTCATAAACGCATAAAGATTTTCCAAATCAGTTGATATTTTGTTCATCAAATAATCTGAGTACATATCCTTCCATTTCTTGCATATATCTCGTAATGCTGCACGAAGAGGTTTTACGTCAATGGAAACAAATCCTTCTACATGTCTTTCTTCAGTATTATTGATTCTTGTACCAATACGTTCATAATCTGTGATGGCACGATCAAAATCTTGTAAGCTAACGCCAAAAAATTCTTTGCTCGGTTGTGGAACTTCTTTACTCAAGTCCTCTTCCGAATAGCTAGAGCGTCGTTTAATAACTTTATCCTTTTCCAAAAATGCAGTAAATGCCTTCTTTCTATCGGTTTCCCATAAATGCTTAAATTCATCAAAGTTACGACGATACTCTTCACAAGCTTCATAATTCTGTGTTAACAATGCATCGATTTCTGACTTCAATCGTTTTACTTCATCATTGTTACTTACCTCAGTAGAATAATTTTCACCACTAATAAGAGGTTTAATCAACTCCGCTCCTCCCTCTATTCCTGACACAAGATTAGCAAGGAGTTTTCGTACTGAATGATCTTCCTGCTCTACACCTTGAATGTAGGGTTCATAACGTGAGCATGGAGTAACTCCCCCTGACCCCTTTGTCAGAGATAACCTTACCTCTACAAGTGGTATACCTTCGTTGTCTACGATCCAATCGGGATCTAACTGGTTTCGTAAACAGTTTAACGAATAAATAACAGAATCATTGATGGATTTTTTCAGTACCTTATCAACATATTCCACGTACTTTTTCCAGGCTTCACAATCCTCTGTAATAGGAGGTGAACCCTCACTTTCCTTAAGTCGGTTAACAGCTTGAAAACTGTTTCGCAAAAGTTCATGAATTCGTTCTCCACGTTCAGTAATATCACGATGTCGGTTTTTAATGTGATCTTCAAGACTTTTCCTTAATTCATGTTCAGACATTGTCTTCATACCTTCACCACGATTGAGAGGTAAGAATCGGTCATTTTTGCGGTATTCTTCCAATGAGTCTATCATAAGTTGAACATTGGTGTGAAATGTCACAACAACTCGGTCAATGGCGGAAACCTTTTGTAGAGCCACATCAATAAAAGAATCAACTTCACTTCCATCTTGCCAACGTACTTCTGTAGTTCCACGCTGAATTGTATTCTCAAAAGCATCTAATTCTGCTCGAATAAGTGGCATTTCATCCTCACGACGTAATGAACTCATAAAATTATTGAATGTTGAACTAACGTAATCGAGTTTCATTGTCTGTGAACGATAAGTTTCACGCTTCTCAAATACAGCTTGAACATCAGTGGGGACATCAAGTTTCTGACGATCACGTGAGTCAAAAGAATTCATAACCTCTAAATAGTAAACTTCTCTTAAAGTTTTCACAAGAGCAGGGTCAAAATTGACCTTCAAATTATTATTTCGATCAATTTCCAAAAGAGGTAGTTTTAACTTATCCATGCTGATAGATCCTACATCTGCACACCATGCTTCGTATTTTTCTTTAATAGTAGTATCCAAAGCTGTCCTGAGTTTCTCATATAATTCCATTGCCTCTTTACCAGATTCACTTTCAAGAATTGCTGGAGAAAGCTCTCCAATACGGTTGTAGGATTCATTTATTCGATCTAACAATGCACTACATCTCACAACAGATGCAGCAAGAGGAGGAATATTTGGATAGGATCCAAATGAATCGCCTTGGTAAAATGCCTCTTGAGCAACAAGGAGATCTTGGTGAAAACTATCCAAAACGGCTTTTTGTTTTTTAAACCACTCTAGTTGAACAACTGTACGGTCAGTAAAACCATCAAAAGTATCAACTGCTTTAAATATTTCTGAAATAGCTTTGGCTTCATCAATAGTAGTTACAAGTATAGCACCAAGACGGCGTTCAAGTTCTCGAATAGTAGCTCGAAAATTAGAATAATCTGTATCAAAGCGAGTTTCATCAACGTCCAATAAATTGTATTCCACACCAAAAAATTTCAAATAAGCCTCATCAAACTCAGCTTTAATTTCTTCAGCTTCTCTGGTATGAATTTGACTTTTTGAACCTCCAACTTTAATGTTCTCCATCTTATCAAACAATACAGCAGTTTCCATGGTATCCAAAAGATCATGACAACGCTCCAAAAAGACATCCAATCTAGAAAAGAAAGCAGTATTTTGAAATTTCCAGGGACGTGCTATAGTAGATACATATGATTTATAGTGAAAATATGCGGCCTTAAATTGACCGCAAATAGCCAAAGTTTCCCCCAATCTTCCAATAGCATCTTTTTTTTCGAAACTTTTTGCAAACTCTTCAACATTAACATGCTCAGTAGCTATACCAATAAGATCATTACACATGAGTCGAAGGAGAACAACAAGACGTGTAGAAGTGTTGTAAAAACCTGATTGAGTCCAAAGAAGGAATAAGTAGTGAAAAAGCCTTTTAAATGTTCCACTTGTTGCCAATTGTGTGAATTCTGTATGACCAGGGAAAGAAGGACACATAGCTTCAAAATCGGGTTGAATCGGTTTAAGGAAGCGGTAGTTGTCCCTTGCTTCTGCAGAGGCTTCTTTAAGTTCGTTCATAAGCTGAGAAAACGGAACATAATAGCTGCTCTCAGTTTTCTTGAGAATAATGAGAATCTTCAATGCCTTTACAGAGTACAACTGTTCTTCAAGAGTTGACAAGTTATCTGTTTTATTTTTCCAAAATTCAATTTCATCTAAAGGACCAGGATGTGTTGCTTTTCCTGTACTAGGATCAGTAAACATTTCTTCCGGGGATGAGTCAATTGCTGCTCGGATCTGTGCAGTCCAGGCGATAATGGAACTCTCTAAATGATAAAGAAACTCCGCATCAAATGGACCATCACCAACCCTTGAAGGTAATTGCACAGGAGGCATTGGAAGAAGAGTTTTACCTTGACTAAGGCCTAATGTAACCAACATTTGTGCAAGTAGACCATTAGTATCATCCATGAGTTCAGCCACAGCAACATCAGGAACCTGACTCACATTTCTCTTTTCACGCTTAATAATTTGGGCATAAACATTTCGGGTCATAGTGTTAAGACCAGACAAAGCATCAGGACACAAATCACCAAAAACAATTTTTTCTTTCATGTGTTGATCATCACTGATTTTCTCACGGTTTGTCTTTGAGAAATAAATTCCCTTTCTCTTCAGCTCTTCTGGTGGTTCAATACGAGCAACAAGCATTCCACTAGACGATTGATATACGTACAAATGTCGGGCATCCGCTGTGTCAAGAAACTCATTGATTTGTCCACGGCTATCCTCATTGTCGATAAGCTTTCTGGTATCTACTGGTTTTGCTTTCAACGCCGTGATAATACGTTGCTCAAGCCATTGCACCCGCTTGTCAATAGGTGCCTCTTCCTTTTCACCCTTAGCCATTGATCTTTTTCCGCTTTACAAAAAAAAAAAACTATCCTTGAACCATAAAAACAAACACACGAGAAAAAAAAAACGCACAAACACGAAAAAAAAAAAGTGGAATAAAAAGTAACAAAAATGACAAAAATTAATCATAGATATTATGAAGTAAAAATCTTTCATGAATTTTCAACAAAGTAACTTAGTCAAGAGACGAAAAAGGAAAAAAAAAAGAACTGATCGAGTCATCCTTTCATTCATTCTTCCATCAAAGACCTAATATTATGTTTAAACCCCCTTTTAGTATCTTTTTTTCTTGTTAAAAATAGTTTGAAAAAGAGTCTTAAAAAGAGAAAAATGCTCTATTGTGGCGGGGGACCACCTGCACCACGACGTCCAGCCTTCATTATTTCGTCCACCAAGAGCAGTTGGGCCACAATATCTCCCGTAGTCTCTATAATACTCTTTTTCACAATTACATTATCCAGTATACCAGCCGCCAGAGGATCAACTACACCTCCTGTATCGAGACGAAGTCCTACCCATCGATTTTCCAAACGTGCAGCACGGCTGGCTTCTTGTAGAGAAATGAGACACTGTTGGACATCAAGACCTGAGTTCTCTGCCAACGTCTTCGGTGTGACAAGCATGGCGTCAGCATATGCACGCACTCCGATTTTCTGCTTTCCTGTAACAGTGTCAGCAAAACGGATCAGATGATCATGAAGGGCCACTTCAAATCCACCAGCACCAGGAATAACGCCACCACTTTCATACGCATTTTTAACAGATCGAAGACCATCTCGGATGGCATCCTTGATTTGTGCAATAGTATGATCATTTGGTCCCTTGACAACAAGAGTACAGCTTTCTCCCTTACTGACATCTTCAACATATGTGTACTTATCATCTCCAAGAGTAAATTCCTGCACGCGACCAGCTTCTCCAAGTACTTCAGGTGTAAGATTTTCAGTTGTGTTTACAGCTTCGCCTCCACAAGCTAAAACAAGACGCTCCATGTTACGACGCTTAGCACGACGAAGAGCCAAAATACCTTCCTTTGACAGCATTTCTAGAGCGATACCGTCAATTCCCTTTTGGTTAATTACCACAAAGGTGCGTTTGTTTTCCTTGGTGCACACTTGCTTCTTAAGGGCAATGATATCCCGAACACGATTGTCAGTTACCTTTCGCTCTGCGGCAACCATACGGGCCTTCTCCTCTGGATCTTTAAAGTAAAAACCTGTATTAAGTTCACTTCGTTCGTATTCGAGGGAAACATTGCAGGTCAAAATGTACGCATTTTCAAGATATTTTGGCATATCATCATTGCGGCCACCGTGATCCAAAACAATACCATTTACAAAACGAGTGTCTGTACTCAGGCGATGTTTCATATGCATTATCTCAATCATATGTAAATCAATAGCCTTCCCATCTGATGGAACAATAGCAAGAACAGCATCCACAACAGCCTCTGCGAGATGCTCCGACATATGTGAACCAACCTTAGTAGCGAGTACAGAACGAGCCACATTCGTCAAAAACTCACGTTTTTCTTCTGCAGAAAACTTACAAATACTTTCTTCAAGAAACCGTAAGGCCTCTTCACGAGCCAGACGAAAGCCTTCTGTTAAAATACGAGGATGAAGCCCATCTTGTATGTATCTTTCACATTGCCGCATCATTTCACCAATAACGAGAACTGTGCTTGTAGTACCATCACCAGTAATGTCATCAATGGCAGTCGCGGCACGCGCTATCAAGGCTGCAGTAGGATGCTGAATCTGCATTTCTCCTAAAAGAGTGTTACCGTCCTTCGTAATTTTAATTAAACCAGCCCCCGAAACAAGCATTTTCATCGTTCCTCTTGGTCCCAAATTTGTCTTTAAAACCTCCTGCAAGCCACGAGCAGCAACCATATTTATTTCCAAGGCGCTAGCTTTTCGAGCTTGTCTTCCTCCAGGGTTGATGTAAGCCAAATTCGACATTTCTTTTTGTTATTGTTGCTCTTGTTTCGAAAATTTTCAAATCCTTAAGACACAAGCACATCACGAAAGTAATGAGGAAAAAAAAGTAAAGGAATTATATAGGGGCAAGTATAAGAGCAAAAAAAAAAAATAATAATAATAATAATAATAATAATAATACCAATAATAATAAAGGTTTATTACGCATTCATACCACTCTCTGCGACAGTGGACAGTAAAACAAAAAAAAATTAGATATCAAATAAATAAATAGCTGTCAAAATAAATGAAGCCAGAAAAATGATAAATCTACCATGTAGGATCCTTGTTGCCAGTCTTCTTCTTGTCGTTCAGCTCAAAGTGCTTCGTGCGCTTCAGAACGTTCTGAATAATCGACTTGCAACTAGAGCACTGGAGCTTCAGGACAATCTTCTTAGTGGTCTTTGCTTTCTTGTGGAAAATGGGCTTTGTCTGACCACCATAACCAGACTGTTTGCGGTCGTAACGGCGCTTACCGCGGGCGTAGAGACGTGCTTTGCCTGCTTTGTACTGCACAACTTTAAAGCTCTTATGAGCGTTGCAGCGCTCATCAGGGCAGTGCATCGTCTTCTTCTTCGGGTAGTTCACCATCCTGGCTACTTAATACAAAACGGAAAAAAAAAGAACAAAAGAATAAAAGAAACAAAGAAGAATAAGAGAACAGCAGGAAAAGAAATAAAATCAAAACAGTGATAATAATAAATAATAAAAAAAAGAGTTTGTTTAGGGGACGCCCCAAGAATAACAGAACACACAGAAGTGCCAATTGGAAGTCTTCTTCCTTTATTAGCACACGTCAGCAACCCACCACTCCCAGAAAAAAAAAAAAAAACACAAACAAGAAAAAAAACGAGACCTGCAAAATAAACGAACAGAGGTAGATATGCACCTTTCGTTACTCAGCTATACAAATTCTCAAGTAAAGAAAAAAAAAAAAAAACTTTCCTCACGGCAAAGAAAAAACTGCTAGATGAATTTCACAGACAGTGCCTTCAGGACCCTTTTACACCACGTTCATCGACGCGACGATTCAAAACAATAAACATTCCAAACGAAATAGAATGAAGGCAATTACGCAAAAAGTTGTCTCGAGCAAAAAAAAAGGACAACGAAAAGGACTTTAATCCCAGAGAAAAAAGGATACCAAAAAAAAAAAAAAAAATTACTGTATTCGCTCTGCGTTAGTTGTTTCTTAGTTTCATTTTGCGTCCAATAAAAAGAAAAAGAAAACACAGATATTCCGACATAAAAAAAACACCTGTTTTAAAACCCCACAGGGCCACGAATGGGTTCTTCAGTGCATACCTCCTAAAATGAAAAAAAACTTTAAGAAATCTGTGTAAAAACGAATTCATCAGATAGACCCTTTGTTACGATCAAACACCCGTTCAAATCATAGAGCAAACTTAAAAACATAAAAAAAAAAAATTAGGCTCCCCGTTTCCCACTTAAGAAAAAAAAAAAAAAAAATGTTTTAGTTTTTGGCAGTCTTTGGAAGCACATTAGACCCCTAAATGGAAAAAAGAAAAATTTGTTTCGCATCACACGCATTAGAGACGCAAGGTTGGGGCAAAAAATGCGTCTCAGGAGACATCAACTGTGTGGGTAGTACTGTGATAAAACTTTCATTACTTTGATACAATACTATCGGAGAAACTGGTAGAGTTGGTTGAACAAGTTGAGGGGGGGTATCAAAAAACACTGGTTTTGCATTTATTGGATTAATGTATGACAGTTGTGGTGAAGTTCCGGGTGCTTGGATTGCACCCTGTAGCTGCCCAGTGGAAAGTATCGGTCTTCTTTCACGAAGAATTATAGACTTTCTTTTTTCAACATTCACATCCTCAATCATCTTTGCGACAGTAAACGGATGAGGATGGTATGGAAACGGAAAAGGAGCCTTTCCATCCATTCCCTCCACACACTTGCACGCATCAGTTATAGACGAAAAGTGCACAAATACCATATTACAGGGCGATGGTCCTCCAAAAAAATGCGACTGTGGATGAAACGACACGTTTTCCACTGGCCCAAAATAGTTTTCACAGTATCGCTGCACCATCTCCGGCCTTATGTCTTGAGGAACATTACGTATGTAAACAATATTAGAGTTCACATGTGAATCCAGACATGAGTGCACTGAACTTTTTTCAGAGAGTCGAACTTGCAAAACACTGTTGTCCATAACAGCTCCGTTCATCAACTGAACTGCCCTGTTTGCCACATCAATACTTTCAAACATCAAGAAAGCCACACCGCGTGACACTCCAGTTGCAATGTCAAGAAGAAGCTTTACGTGCAGAACTGTTCCGACATGTGAAAAAAACTTTCGCAACTGCCCACTATCAACGGAAGGGGGTATATTGGCAACGTAGACGCTACAGCATCCAGATTGCCCGGTATGTGTTGCACCCTTTGACATATCCCCTTAAACAGCTAAAAAGAACCACAACAACAAGAAAAAAAAAACAATTCAATTCACTTCAAGAACAAAAAAAAACAAAAAAAAATAATAATAGCAATCGTGTCAGGTATAACTAATAATAAAAAAAAAAAAAACATAACCACAAAAACGTGCTGTTCACACTCGCTTTTTAACGAAGAAAAACTGCACCGTTAGGGTCAGCTACAGGTTGATTATTTGGTATATCAACATTCCGCCATTTATAAAAGCAAGTCAATCAAGATATAAAAAGCAAACTTCACTACTCAAATAAATCTTTAGGAACCCTTGTCCTCTGCAAATTCGTTGACAAAATAAGTTCACTGTCACCATTTTCATCATCTGCAGTCTTTGCCAATGGAACCTTCGGTGTCAAACGGGTAGGTGATTCCTTTACATTAACCTCATTTTCACTTTCACTTGATTTTTTATCATCTGCAATCCTTGACAATGGAACCTTCGGTGACAAACGGACAGGTGTTACCTTCACGATAATCTCACTTTCACTTTCACTCGAGCTTTCATCATCTGCAATCCTTGACAATGGAACCTTCCGTGGTAAACGAACAGGTGATTCCTTCACAATTATCTCATTTTCACTTTCACTCGAACTTTCATCATCTGCTGTCCCTGCTAAAGGAACCTTCGGTGGCAAACGGACAGGTGATTCCTTCACAATTATCTCATTTTCACTTTCACTCGATTTTTCCACATAAATATCATTAATTAAGCAAGCACCCGCAAGGGTCTCTTTATGCGTGTCAAGACCGACCTCTGCTACGTTATTGTGAAACTCCTTCAGCTTCCCGCAGCTAACGCAATAATTGCGCCTAAATGCATGTTCACGAAAATCCGAACATACAGCAGTAAGAACATTCTGTATTCCCTGTTTCCCAGATTTATCATCGCCAACAGAAGGGTCCTCAGAAACCGCATTAGATTTTACCTCAGGTAAAACGGTTTCATAAGCCAATAATTGAATACAAGCGGTTTTTGCCTCATTTTCGAGATTACATAGGGGTTTCCCACTAGCATAAGTTTCCGTATTGATAGACGGAGAAGATTTCTGTAACGAAACTTCGTGAAATTCCCTCAATTTTCCGCAATTAACGCAATAGTTACGCCTAAATGCATGTTCACGAAAATCTGAGCACATAACCGTGGCAGATTCTTGTTTCTGAGACACATCCAAATTTTGAGAAGCAGACGTATTTTGGTATAGTTCGTTTGCAGCACTTTGTTTTATATCAAAGGAAATTGCCTTGGTAGAATCACAATCAGGAACTAACTGTTCATGGAACGTTTTAGTCATTTTTTCTCGTGGGGAAATCAAAACGGGATCAACATATCGAGCCACCGTAGATCGTAAAAAAGAATGTGACTCTTTCCTTTTACCACAATTTAAACAGACATCCCGTTTGAATGCATGCTCTTTGTATTCAGTACAAACAACCAAATTTGATTCTTCTAATGAAGATATTTGCACCGCATTGGGGACAACCCTTTTATCTTCATTATGTAGATGTTTGGACTGCTGACACGTTGCACAAAGATCATTTTTAAAGGGATTCGCTTTAAAATTGGAACATGGGGGTGACGCAGACACCATTACTGAAACATTTGCATGCGACGCTTTACCCTTTTGGCAATTCTTACAAATATCCTTCTTGAAGGGATTCGGTGAAAAGTGAGAACAAACCATTCAACCAAAAAAAAAAAAAAAAATGCCACAGTACAGCTGTTGAAGAATTCTCCCCACTACAATAGGTAGCTAAGCTCCAGTAAAAAGAAAGCAGACCTATATTAGCAAAAGAAAAAAAGCGTACTCCCTATAGCTGAATCAGAAAACATAAAAAGAAAAAAAAACGAAATCATGGAAACAGTGAAGAAGGGAACATGACGCAGAATACGTGTAACACCGAAGCCAAAAAAAAAAAAAAATGATAAACGTTAAATCATATTCAACACAAGCAAGATGACATACGTGAGGTAAAACAAAAAAATAGAAAAAAGCAAAAAAAGAAAAACATCTCCACGAAAAAAGAAAACAAAAGGAGACCCAACACTCCCAGAAAAAAAAATTGAAATAATAAATCACCCATACTCAAGACACCCACCCAGAGCAGAAGGAATTCAAGAAATTTAAATAACACAAAGTATGCCCCTGGATTTAATCGTTGGTCCCTCTTCACAGGGATAATATGAAAAAAAAAAGAAAAATATTAAAAAGTTGCTTTAATGTCATCATCCTTTTAATGTTTTATTCACACCAATGTTTCACCCCTTGTTAAACCACGTAATTGATAAAACAAATTTATGATATGCGAGTTCGTTGATTACTTATGAAGTTGCAGATTTTTGGGGTCACTACACTCTTAGACCTCTTCTTATAGAGGGTCGTAAAGTGAAGGCGGGACGCAAAAATAGAAAAAAAAAAAAAGGAGTAAATAAAAATAAAACCTCACTCCAATTATTTCGCCTAACCTTGTTACAGATTCTTTCCACAAGATTCCAAAACACTGGCAACAATGAACTTGTACCACCACGGTACAGTGTCAGAGGGAAAAAAACCAAGTACATAAGCATCAATCGAGAAGAAAAAAAATTCTTGGGACGATTAACACATAGACCCCCACCCTTTTACAGTCAAAGGGAAACAAAAACAAATCAGGTCATACATTCAATAAAAAAAAAGCATATCAAGGTGTTATAACATTCTCACAAAGAGTAAGGAAACACCCAAATTTATTTTTAGGAAATCATCCAGAAAAATAAAATTACAAATCTCCTAATGCACCATAATCAAGCCTTGCATCCCTACAACACACCAAAAAAAAAAAAAAAAAATTCAAAAAAAGCAGTCCGCACTCCTACACACACCACATAAATATAACGAAAAGAATAACATCACTAAATAGAAAAAATAGAAGAACAGAACACATCTCTTCAAGTAACAAAAACAAGTTAAAAAACACAATGTATCGCAAGGTGAAAAAGGCAAGGATTACGCAAACAATTTCCCAAGCACCTACTTTCACCTCAGACACAACCCCAACCGTATTTAATGATAAAACGACATAACACATCCCCAACAAGAATTTACAGAAGTTTTTCTTTCAAAAGAAAAATCAGAAAGAAAAATCAAGAAATCCCTCTCATGAAGGGACAACCCCAATATAAAAGAAAAAATTTTTTATTCATGAAACGAATACAAAAACGAATGCCACTCACTCACGTAAAAAAAAAAAAAAACACAAATCAGAAGAAAAAAAAAAAAAACATGAGCACAATCACAACCACTTAAAAGGTACCAAGCAGTTTAATTCATCACTACATATCTCACCGAAATCCAAGAAAAAAAAAAAAAAGAGGAGACATGATAAGAGACCCGGCGTCCAAATATACATTTTCCTTCAGATAAGAAGAGAATTCACCAAACAAAGAAACATGACACGAAACAGACCCAACGAACCACCGATACAACAGGACACCAAGCGCAATAACAGGTCTGAAAATCAAACGCCAAAAAAAAAGAAAAAAAAAACTTCTTTAAAATGATATCGCCAAAAACACAACGGCACGCAAAAATTGTCTCAGGAAAGGAAAGACCAGAGAGAAGAAAAAAGATATAAAGGTAAAAGAAGCATTTAGTGTTTCCCTTCTTATGTTTTTCCCTCATGTTTATGTTGTTATAAACAGTCAGGAAGGAGTCCCAAAGATCAAATCATAATTAATACTGGCTAAAAGGAAATTTTGAAAGATCCTTTTAATCCACCACTGTACAGCAGGAAAAAAAAAAAACATATTGAATGAGCTTTTCAAATCAAAACATTCATTCAACAACACCCATACGGATAAACCGAGAAAACATTATATGATGTCTTTCACCAAACATAATATCATACCATTCACTTCCACCAACATCCTATCCTCAGAAAACATAAAAAATAATAAAAACCAACGACCCATCACATCGAAATAAAACAATATAAAAACAATAAAATCTTCAGCCGGTACCCCGTGACCCGTTCAACACTCTTGGGGGCGGGATGGGGGGAAGAACGTCGTTTTTTGCGAAAGAGCGGAGGGGGGCGCGATGGCGCCGGAGAACCCCGCGCCACCAATACCCCCAACACCCTCAGGAAACGCCCCCGAAAGAATATCGAAGGGAACGCAGGCGCGATCCCACAAGCCCTCCGCCCACCCAACGCCCGGGCGCCAGAACCTTTGAGGAATCTGGTGGGGCTTCGCGGTGTGGCGACGAAACCCTTTCCGAAACAAAGTCGGTTTGGGCGTGGGTCGGCGCCGTGTCGCCGCGGGACGGAGACCCTGCGCCGTCTCGTCTTGCAGCCTGCGTCGTGCATGCGGCGTTTTCGCCTACCGGGCCGACGCCGAAGAACCACCCGAACGGCACAGGGACCGTTGTGATTGATGGCGCGCATGTGCGGATGTCCTCCGCATTTGGCGTTTTCTGAGAATCTGACAAGCGCGTTTGACCGATTTGTGAAGCGGACCTTCACGCACCGCGCAGCTGAGCTTGACGAGGGCGTGCAGGCAGTGTCTGTGGTCGCTGTGTGTGCGTGAAATGTGTCTGTGCCGTTGCAGCTTGGCTTCTCTGGGGCGTACCGACTGTCAGCCTTCGTGAATGGCACCTGCTGCCGCTAAAGTTCGCAGAACGGGAACGCCTTGAAGCACTGCAGGAGTCTAACCCGCGTCTTCAATTTCAGTTATAAGAGCTACAAAAGGTTAATACTTCGAAGGATCGTTCTTGTAAGGCTTCTTCTGCATCGCTTTCGCACTCCGGTGAGGTCTCTCAAGAACCAGGAAGTGCTACAAAAGGTTTAGCTGCAGCGGTTCCTGATGGAAAAATTGTAGAGATTTCGGTATCACAACTTCGAGAGTTGAAAGATCATCAATTTCGTTTGGGTACGACCATATCTGAGTTACGTTGTGTCGGTGTTGTAGAAGATGATGTTGTCATGGGATACTTGGATTCAGTTGACGGGCAAGGGGTAAGTGGTGAAGGTCTCGGGTTAGAAATACTCCAGTTTACTCTTCGGATAGAAGGATACCGTCAGCGACGGGTTGGACAATTGAAAATGTATCGCAATTGTTTACTTGCACATATTGTAAACCCCCCAGTGGAGAATTCAAAAGGGTAATGTACTACTTGTTAGTGGAACATATGGGCTACACAAGTCATATGATATGGTCTCAAAACGAGCAGTGGAGAATCCTATTTTGGAAGCTGGGTATGTTGGGCTACTGCAAAGAGGACCTGAATGAGAGTAGGGTGAAGATGTGGCGTTAAATTCGTTTGCTGTGTTTTGTGTAAAGTTATTGGACGTGAATGTCAGTGTTTGAAAATTAAAATGCACATCTCTTTTCATAATTTTTATTCTTCTCGATTTTTTCCTCCTCTTTTTGGTTTGTAAGGTGAGGCGGGTGGGTTACTTGAAAAATAAAGAAGAACGACAGGATATATATATATATATATATATATATATTCGTTCTATCCAATGTTTCATCCACGCTCCCAGATGGCATTGCGGCCAGAGAATATTAAAAATATTCGTTCCTTTCGGAAGCTTATAGAGGTCATGGATCAGCAGTATAGTCAAATCTCTATTTCCATATTAATAATCCATCTAATCACGGAGTTGGCATCAGTGGTATTGTACGTGTGGACATCCATGCATACAGCTGCCACATCAGTAAGCGAATTCCATTGGGGAAGAACTATTTTTATTTTTGAGGTTGTGCTTAATATTATATTTTTTCTCGAATGGATCCTTCTCTTCTTTGGAGAAAGCGATAAACGACGGTATCTCTTGTCTTGGCTCTCTATTGTAAATGCCATGACAAGTATTCCGATGATTATATATGGCATTGGTGCATTGGTTGACACCAAGTGGGAGAGTTATTGGGTGCCCATGTATTTGCGAGTATGGTGGATTCGTGATTGCGTTGTCGTTCTTTTGGATTATCCACAGGTGGCACGATACATGGTAGACATCACAAGAGAAGTATGCCGATTTCTTTGCACACTCTTCGCCGTTATGTGTACTTGCATCGGTACAAACCAAATTGTTCAAAGTTGCACTGGAGAATATATTAGTCTATACAACTCTTTCTATCTTATGGTGGTTGCATTCGCTACCATTGGGTTTGGGGATGTAACACCAAAATCAACACCGGCACGTCTCTTTATGATAGCTTTTATTGTGGTTGCTATTAGTTATTTCTTGCCATTATTCCAACGTCTAGCACAGATTGGTCGACAGCATCTGCATTATGATACGTATAATTCTCGCGGCGGGAAACGTCCACATGTCATTTTGTCTGGTACATTCACTGAACTTGAAGTAGATATTATCATTCGGAATTTCTACGCCGGTTGGAGAAAGTATCTTGATATTCGAATTGTGTTGCTTTCACCTGTGGAACACCCACCGGAAGTCAAACTGTTAGTTAATCTTCCGTGGTTTAGAAATCGTGTTGTGCTTATGATTGGTGATCCTATGAAGGATGCCGACCTTAAGCGTGCAGATGCACACCATGCAGATGCTATTTTTTTGTTTGGTGACACAAGCTCTGCCGCGTATTATACTGACTATCATTTGATTCGGCAGTCCTTTGCTATTAATCATTACGATGACGAGCTTCCACAATACCTATTCCTTCGCAGTGAGCGACACACTAAGCATGTCTCCTCCTATGCTGCCGGCGTGGTGGAAGGGGAAAGGATTTTGCACCATTTGCTTGGGCTTGGGGTGGCTATTCCTGGTTCTGTGCCTCTTATCATAAATTTGCTTCGTACATATGAACCCCGCCCATTCAATACAACACTCACGCGTAACTGGGTAGAACACTACGAATGGTCCTTGCAGAACGATATTTATTCACTGGAAATTGGGGATAGTTTCACAGGACTTAGCTTTTATTGGTTGGCAAGTCTGTTCTTTAAGCAAGATGTCACACTTATGGGTGTCATTACTACTAAAGGTACAGTGTTGCTTAATCCATCTCAGATTGATTACTCCGCCACCAAAGTGGTGGTAATTGCTAAATCTCTGAAAATTGCTAGAGACGTAGTAAAAAAGCTGGAGAATGAGTGTCGGCTCCCTGTTGTTGATTCTGCAGCTCGACCAGAGTCGAACCGTTTGGTACTAAACTGTGAGGGAAATGCGACTGTGGAGAGTCAAGATGACTCTGATGGCGGTGTTGAAACATTTGTACGTGTGGATGACGCTTATGACTTTGAGAATCACTTTGTCATTATTGACCTCTCTATGGCAAAAGCCAGAATACCTGAGACGGAAGGAGGTCAGCAAGGATCTCTCTTTTCTGCAGCAGCAGATGTTTACCATCTGTTGCGCTCCATTCGCCAATCCTACCCCCAAAACGACATTGTCATGTTAACAAAAGATACTTCATTCTCAGTCTACCTTGAAAAGTACTGGTACACGGTAAAAGGAACCATTCCTGTTAAACACATAGAGGGATTTGGATTGAATATAAACGATCTTCGACGGTGTAATCTGAAACATAGTGCTGGTATCATTATATTTATCTCCGGAGATGTTACTGGGCCATCAACCAGTGGACTCTCTATGCTTGTGGACCTCTCAATCGCCTCAATTCTTCCATCGTCACACAACATACCCATTGTGGTAGAAATGGATAGTCTTCGTTACATCTCTCTTTTCCCTCCTTATGCTGAAGACAATATCCTCAGTCAAAAGGCTGCGGCAGATTTCGTGTTTGAACCCAATTATATTATCGGTAATGCCCTTAGTAGGCATATGTTGTATCCTTTGATGCACCGTGCGTACTTTTCAGAGGAGTTTATTGATATTATCGAGTTGCTTGTGTGTGGTATAGACGAAGAAACACCTTCACTTGGGAGACTTTCTCTTTTACTATCCCCTGAAGATTTAAATACATATGAAGATGTTGTAAATTACTGCCTCAGTCTGCGCTATATTCCTATTGCTCTGCATCGTTGCATTTCGGATACAAAAAATATAACACTTAGCGGGCAACGCTATGTTCTTTCGAATCCACCTAGAGATCTGCCGGTCGACCGTAGAAGTGATGCGGTCTTCTACTTATTACCAACCTCATATTGAACATTTAATGCAGTAAACCTACTTCAATAGGAATTTGTTTGTTGCTTTGGAAATAGGGTACAAAAGTGGAGAGAAAGGCATGAGTTCTTTTGCACCTCTTGGTTCCTATATAAGGACCATGAAGTGATGTCCGGATAACAAGTGTGTTGTTGACATCGCCCATCGGTCTACGCGGTAGTTCTATCTGTTATACAAAGCCATATTTTATGGTGTCTCTCCCTATCTTCTTGCAGTGGAAAGAAAAAAGAACGAGAGAGGAAAATTTAACCGCTTCGGTAAACGACTGATGTACATTTCTACAAGCCACAACGCTGTGAGAGTGGGGTAACGTCTTTGCTGTGGGAAAATGCAATTAAAAAAAGGGCAAATAGGCACAATTTTTAATATTGATTATTGAAAAGAAAATATATTGGGGAGAGACCCTGTGCGTGCGGGTAAATAGCAGTGGCTTTCAAGAGTGGGTATTGGTTCTACACATCCTGTGACGGCCACAAAGTCAACAAATGAAGGTGTGTGCACTGTTGTCAATAATGAACATTTCCCGTCATTTGAGTATACATGTAGAAAAGGATAGGGGGTTGCGCATAGGGTTCTACTTGTCCTGTAGGAAATTATACTTCGGCCAGCTAATCACTGCATATGGGCGACAAAATGAGACCTACGCTGCATATTCACACTCTCATGCACCGTTGATAGATAATTGTATTTTGTCTTTTTGATGTCTGTGGTATTCTTGCAGATTGTGGTTCCAGGCTGGCTGGTAATCATTGAGGATTTGTTTAAACTTTTTTGAACCAGTTACTGCACTCTCTCGTTTGTTTTGTCTCTCTACTTTTTTTTCCCTTTCATTGTGATTTGTTGTTGCAGAAGTGACACTACAGTCGATAGAAAATCAAAAAATACAGTGAGAGAAGAAGGAATAGAAGTAAAAGAGAGAATGGAGCTTCGTTTGATTAGTGAGGAGATTGATATCACTGTTGAAGAACATACACATGATGTGATGCCTAGAGAGGACCCAGAGTAATGAGTGCTGATCAACTACCAGCAATGCAAACACCACTGTAGGGTGTGTGTCGACCAGGGTGAATATTTTACGTCACAGTCAAGAGAGAGTGTGTTACCGAGTGGGACTATATTCTCACAGTGGTAGGTAAACTGATCGACTTATTCCATTATTATTTTGAAAGCATAAACATTGTGGATTTCAATGAAAATAATGGGGTGGGTCTCTCTCTCTGTGTTGAAGGATGCGGTGTGGGATTGAAAAGAGCCTGCCCACCGCAGCTATTGACATCGAAGACTGTGGGAAAGAGTTCTGCACAGAAAAAAAAATATGATAAATCTTCTTCTTGACTACTGGACCTCATGGCACACATCTCTGAGGAAAGGGAGGGTGGGGAATGTTTTGTATTTATGCAAACAAGTAGAGGTGATATTTGTGTGGCGAATTGCTTGGGAATGGCCTGGAGAAATCTTTTGGTGATCGTGTAGGGGTCATTTGGGAACCCACGCAATGTGCACGGATTGAGACCCCTTGAATCAAGAGGTCCTTTTCTATTTTATAATGCCTCTTCTGCCAACCGATGGGTCGTAGTGGTAAAGAAGATCACCCAATGTTTGCGTAATTCCCCGTTGGGACGGGTGTGTCTGCGTGAAAGAAACTATCACTCCAAAAAGAAGGAGCATTTCCATGATTTTAGCGAAGAAGAATGGCGTGCCCCTAAAGCCTGTTGAGGGTTTGCGTTTTTCCTTTCCCATTTCTCTACAAACGGATGGGCATGAATCCAGATATACAACTGTTGCTCTCTTTTCTTCTTTTTCGGATTACAGAGTAATGCCCTAACCCATTTAACGTTGTGTCCACTCTACGGTGTGTGTGGCATATTCTTTTCCACATTGTAATAGAGGCAACGATGCTGCTGCTCTACGATGGTGGCCAATGTTCGAACTGCCAGTGGAGATCATTGAAATGCTCAAAACAGAAATAGAAAAACAAAACTGACAGGCATCACAATTGCGCTGGACACGGTTGTGCTCGGCGGCGAGGTGTACACGGTACGCAGTGTAGCTCCTCAGCATGACTGTAGTGTCGAACGCGTTTCTTGTTGTTGGTGTTGTTCTTGTTACCTTTGTGATTGTTTGCTGGTTTGTTTTCTTTTGGCATGTTGATGGTTGGTTCTCTCAGAAATTCTATTTAGGTGGTATGTATGATACATAGCATACTGTTTTTCTGTATTTCGTGTGATGACAAGATTTAACGATATGTATTCTCTTACAATACCTTGGGGTGATATATTAATATATGTGACAAGTTATGGATTACTTCCCATGGTAAGATATATTTTACTATTGGCGTTGTACTGTACTAACAGAGGGTCCTGTATTTTTACAGTTGGAAAAATGATAGCTATACCATGCTATAAGAAGTAGTTATGTGGTGATGACGTGTCTCGTGTAATGTCCCTGATATATGCACGTTAAAGACTGTGAGTGAATGAAGGTCTTTTATTTTCACCTCTTTTTTTTCTATTGCTTTAGTGGTTTCTCATGCTAGCAACTGATTGGGAAACGTTGGTCAAAATGATATAATTAATGTGCACCCTAATATGATTTATCACGTGAAGAGCTACTCTCACACAAGCACCACCAGTGATGCCGTATGATGAACTAGAAGATTTGACAGGATATGAAATGATGTTTTGTTGATGTGATTAGTAAGGTAAGAAGTATATGATGAACATTAATTTATTTTTTAACCGTCTGTGGTGTTTCTTTTTTATACCCTGTGAAGTAGTCCACTGCATATAATAATAATAGAGAAAAAGAAAGGTGAGAGAAAGAGAGAATAATGGTTTACTCAACTTGCTTTGAGGGGATAGAATGGTAGTTGCGTGGCGCAGAAGGGTGTATGATGCACGGCATTGCTATTCTGAGATGGTGTACAATCTCTCCACCATAATGCTTGAGAATTGAGTGTGAAAGACTACTTTTTATGGTATGAGCAGTCTTATGTGCCTTTGCCACTGTACAAGGTGGTGAAGGATGGCCATTCTATTTGTTATACGAGAGGCTAATTCCTCATTATATTCTTCACATCTCATACCTTTCAAAGATGTTTTTCTTTGTTTTCATACAGGCTTTCACAGTCATAGTAGTTTGCTTCTTTGCTACACTTGTATCGCTTTCTTCTTTCTTTTGCTATAATCAACATTGTTCATATGGAAAAATAAACTCATTGCGTTTCATTTTGTTTTCAAAGACATATCGCTTACTGAGAAGCGTTACTATATTTACTAAACAGTTTTTAACCCTGCTTTACCTCCACTTTTTTTCTCCTACAGGATTCTATTTGTATCTTATGCCATGTGACGTGGATGCATTCCATCGATGATTTATTTGAGCTCTTATGGCGCGCTCCTTGCGCTACCAGATTCCCTGAGGAAGAAGAGGTCAACGGCACCATGACACTTACCTTTTGTACCTAGTAATACTCCTAGGTCCGATGCTATTCGCATAAGTTGTACAAAAATATTATAACGTTAACCTCAACTAAGGCTTATATCAATTTTTAATAATATAATCATTATTGTTTTCCTTTTTCTTTTTTCCTGCTTTCCATCTTTTTTACTTGCCTTCATGATTGCCTTATTGTACTCTATTTCGTTGCTGTAAATATACTTTGGTATTGTTCTTTTTATTTTGCGTTTCCTTATCTCTCTTTTAACATACAGTGCTACTTCACCAAGTTACAAGGTTGTACCTATTAGACCCATTCCACACATGCAATGCAGTTTTAGGTTACTTGAGCTCTATTTATCGTTGCACAGATTATTCTGGTTGATGCTACTGATTACTTTGCTCTTGTTGTTCTTACTCCTTTTTTCCTTTTCATATCCTGGCGTTAATTTCACGAAGACAACAAATGAAGCTCTGCGGAAAGAGCTTCGGTATGTTCAGAAGACGATTTCCCCAAGAGTGCTTCTTCTCGTTGTCCAGACACGATTCTCTCGAATGTCACTGTGGTGACGACTGGGTTTGGAAAAAACTACACACACATCGACCGACC